ACCCCTCCCGCCCACTACACTCAGACTTTGGCTGCCTTAACTTTCGTTCTTGTCTCCCTGACGCTGCTGGGCGGCGTTAAACTATACCAGCAACCAGCTGCGTGTCATGCCGACGTTAAATGACACCTTTTTTCATTGGTTTCTGACACTGCAAATCACTACCCAAGTGCCAGATATTGACGACTTCGGAGAAAGAATGGGGCTAATTTTTGTAGTTATTTTGTGTCTCTCTGTGGCCTTTTTGTGTCTCTTCCTGCAGTACATGTCAATTTGAGTGACATTTTGCAACTGAAGTCCTGGGGACCCCCTGACACTTTTTATATTATTTTTTAATATTATTTGTGTCATTCCTATTACTGATATATGAAATGTTAATAATGTGTTTTGAGCTAAAATGTCAATCATAACTGATAATACAACTGTTTTTTTTTTTTACTGAAATATTTGTGAGTTGGTGATTTTGACATGAGCTATTTTTTCTGTTGGATCATTTATTGTCGTTGAAATGTGTGGCACCTGCTTCCCCATCTACTGGGGCTTTTAAAATACATTATGGAGGGCATTTTTGCCTTAACTAGATGAAGTACAGACACAAAATAAAGGGAAAGAGTAGGGAATGGTTAACAAGCAACAAGAGTCCCCTGCTAGTAAAAAACTTGGGACAATGTGATTACATGGCTGAGGCTTTAGCAGTATGTGCCCTGCTTTATCTGTTTTCGTTCTGCACAATGTGCAAATAATCTCACGCCCTCATTTTGCAATGCAAATACTGTATTCATGTCACTGGTTCGTCATTTGTGGTATTTCACGGTTTTCACACACACAATGCACAGACTTGTCTTTTCTGTCAATAAATGTTTATACTGTCACATCCTTGTAAAAAAAAAGTTTCTCCAAGCTGTCAGCTTTACAAGAGCCAACAATTAAATACAATAAACTAATAGTCATAAACATTTAACTTAAAGCCAAGCTAAAAAAAAGATGGGTTTTAGGTTAAGGTTTAAAGGTACACTATGCAGGATTGTTGGTTACTGTTGGTTACCTCAGATTCACTCGCTATATTTGCATCCTGTCAGTGCTGTTACTCTTGAATACCTGCTTGCAGTCTAGCACCTGGTCGCTACCTTTTTATAAAGCCCTGACCTCACCTGAGCGCTGTGGGGGTACACACCTATAAACATCTCGAACACCAAAAATATGAAGCAAATAAGGATATAAAGGACAGAGTCTCTGCAGAAACATACACTGCCACACACTTCTAGTGGGTCATAAGTGATTATTGAGAGGGATTACTTTTGCATGTGTGTATACATTGTTTTTTAGGAAAATTCTGCACATTATATCCTTAATGATATCACCACTTTCAAACAATCTATTGGGTTTTTCAATTATTTATTTTGCTTAGGAAGCACAAGAATTCTCAGAAACTATGAAAGAACAATTATGATGACAAATCTTTGAGGATCCTAGGTGGAAAAAGTTGAGACAGCACAACTGGCTTCAAACATCTTGTGAAAAAGTCTTGAAATCAGTGACGGGGCTTCTTTACTCAGGCCAATCTTCTGTCACAGGATCAGTTTCTCAGTGCCTGAGAGTAAAGTGTTACCAGATACTGAAGGAAAAACCCTTGAAACAGAGTTATTTATCTTTTTGTCTTTCTCCTCATCATCATCATATATTACCATGTGTTAAAGATCTACAAATGTGCCTTAAGAAACTGTTGGAATTTAGGTAAATGATTAAAGATTCATGTTACATCTGATGGGGAAATTACTACTTTAAAAGGTGTGTAGGATTTAGGGGGATATGTTGGCAGAAATAATATAATAACTGTGTTTTCTTCAGTGTCTAATCGCCTGAAAATAAGAAGTGTTGTGTTTTCGTTACCTTAAAATGAGCTGTTGAAATCTACATAGGGAGCAGTTCTTAATTTACAAAGATTGCCATGTTCACGGCTATGTTTCTGTAGTAGCCCAGAATAGACAAACCAAAGACTGGCTCTAGATAGGGTCATTCACCTTATTGCATTTGCCACCATAATTAGCAGCCTCTCTGCCACGAGCAGCATCGAAAAAAACACAACGTGTAGCTGCGTTAGTCTGTGTTTTTAAATCGCATCCATTTGTTTTAGAGAGGAGACCTCTGTGGATAAGCAGCTGTCTACAACATGCCAAAAAGCGTCAGAGAAAAACAGCTTTATTTCATGTTTTTACCGTTTTTTATTAGGCTACCTGGTCTGGTTTTTTTTGGAGAAGAAGATAAATCGGCTCCTAGTAAAAACCTCCTGAACAATGAACACTGAAGGAAATCTAACAAGGAAAAGTTTCAGCTGGTTGCAATCTGCAATCCTCACCGCTGGACACCACTAAATCCCCCTAATCTTACACACAGGACCTTTTCGCATCTCTCACACAGGATCAAATACACACCAGTGAAGGATATTTAATACCATAGTCTACTGTGTATTCCTGTTCCAACATTTTCCCACCATGCCTCTCTTGTAACGTGTCAATTGGTGAGCTTTAGAGGCCCCAGTAGCCGGATTGTGTTTCATTTGGACAGAGACAGATTACACGTTTCCAGTTTGTTCCTACTTTTTAAGATAAGCTAACTGGCTGCTGGTTGTAGCTTTGTATTTACTGTGCTGTAAATACAAAGCTACAACCAGCAGCCAGTTAGCTTAGCATAAAGACTGAAACCAGCACCTTTAAATTATGTTTAATTACACCTGTGCATTCCGATACTCTATCCTTCGCACAAGCTTGTAAACATGCTCGGTCCTCTCTCCTGCTATCTTCCTGTTTTTCAGCCAGTCTCAACAGACCCCTAGTACTAGGTCACATTTCACCATTGTTGGTCCGTGCTCTCTCTGAAGTGGCAGGTGTCATGTTCACATTTACACCTGTGACTTCGACACTCTAACAGGCACACTTGAGAAGCCACAGTCACAATTACTGGGTCACTCCTGGAGCTTTTAGTGTAGTGTTTCGGATTAAGTTCATCAAAGAGTTAATATTTAAAATGGACTAAGCATTTTTATAGGTTGAGCTCTTAAAAACATTAGGAAAAGCTATCGGAATATCAACTACAATGCGGGTGTAAACAAAACAGAATATGCATTGCAGGCACACTAGGATGACTGATGGATGGAAAATGCCAGTATTTGGATTTTTATACAACATGAGCACATCATTTTCTCATTAGATTTACTGTGTAGTATGTCCACATCAGAATATGGGCCAAACACTGATCTAAAAATACCCAATAACATGTGCATTTTCCCTGTTTAAATGAATAGATTGACATTTGGGGAATTATGCTAATTTGCTTTCTTGCCGAGGGTTAGATGAGACGATTGATACAACGCTCAGATATGAGTGGCATCGGTCTTCTCATTTAAAGGCCCAGTGAGTAGGATTTAGGGGCATCTTTTGGTAGGAAATGTTATATATTATTCATAACTATGTTTCCATTTGTTTACCATCACCTGAAACTAACAATCACTGTGTTTTCATTACCTCACAATGAGATGTTTATATCTACATACAGAGCGCAAATTTATATTTCGAAGGTATGATGCCCTTCTCTCCCTCTGATTGTTGCCTTCATTGCTTGAATTGGTTAGGTTTAGGTAAGAAGAGTGAAACTGGTCAGGGTTAGGGTAAGAATGCTGCTCTCATGCATTGTTTGTACATTTTCCTACAAAAAGTAATCCACCAAAATTCGTAAATATCCTCCATATTCATGAGCCAGTGCTTCGTGTATAACCCACATATTTGGGAGGGCTGTGATCCCGTGACCAATGCACTGAGGGGAGTAAAGAAAGAAGCAGTTCCATCAGGAGGCAGGTGATAGATGGGTCACAAAACACAGGACTTTCTCCAGGAGACTGGTGTTCAAAACTGTGTGAACTTTGAGTGAACTATGAAACATTTAAAGGTACGTCCTAACCATACTTCTTTTCCTAAATCTAACCACAGTAACTTTACATATTTAAATCTAACCTACATAACTTTACGTCAATTATGTTACATCATTTATGGGACGCTAATTCATAGGATATTGTACGAGCCGCTGTATGAGGATATGTTAAAAAATGTCAGGATGAGTCGATCAAAGGTAGAATAAGGTAGGGCTTTTCATGCCTTTGCTTTACTAGGAAACACAAAATTTGCATATTGAGTGGGTCCTCTTCCACAGAGTCAGTAATTTTTACAGTAGCCTAGAAAGGACAAAGACCACTTTTCGCACTGGCCACTGTCGTTCTCCTACACACTTGGCAAATGGGAAAAGTTTCAGTTCTGCAACTTCACCACTAGATGCCACTGAATCCTACACACTGGACCTTTAACTCTCGGCAAGTAAGCAAATAAACATAATTCCTAACATTTTGAACCTTTCCTTTAAGGAATGTATTCATGGGCGCATTTATGGAAGAAGTATTTTTTATGCATATATGCAGTTATGAACACATTAAAATAAAAGTTTTGATAAAACATCTCAACAATTTTTTTGTAATTATTTTCTTTACAACCTATCTATGCTTTAATGGGATTTTTGAAACTAAGGTGGTTTAGCAAATTCATATTAGAAAGTTTAAGCTGTTGAAATTAGTCTGCAAAAATGTAAATGTTAATGTACGATGTTTTTCTTAATTAAGCGCATAATCCCACTCCATGAACTAAAAAAACACATAAAGTGAAGCCCTGTAGTTTTTTACAGTGTGTCAGTGTAAACTTGCAGCAGGTACGGAAGCGCGGCGGTTTACCCTCTGAAACGGGGTTGAGCGTTAATGAGTAATTCATTTTGTTCGCGGCTGACCTGAAGGCTCCCTGTCCTGTCCTGTCCTGTCCTGTCCTGGCTGCAGCTGCATCACCAGCCCGGGCTCTTCTCTCAGGAGGGAGGGCACGTCCACCGCAGGGCGGAGGAGGAGGAGGAGGAGAGAGGTGACTGGACGCAGTTATGCCAACAAGCCGATTATTGAAGGCTACTGAGCCCTCTCTGTCAATTTGCGTCCGACCTCTCATGGTCAAACAAAGGCGGATATAATTCATCTGAGGCGCACGTTTTTGTTTCTTACAGGGAGGAGGATTCATTCATCTCAGGAAAGTACTTTTTTTAAATCCAACTGCAACTTTTTATGGATTTATATTGTGTGGAGAAAGCTATGGTTTCTGTGATATAGACTTGCAATGTGTAGCCTATGTGTTAATCTGTAGACAGCTAACAGTGTACTTAGGGCTGTATTGTAGTTGCTGTGGTGTCACTGTTTCATAATTTTAAACCCCTGCAGCTTCATGTTTTTTAATTTTTGCATCCTGGATAGTGTTTTTTAAAGGAGGTGAACACTGAAATAATGCATCCAATGGAAATGGCAGCTACAGTGAACTTTAAGTAAACTTTCCACCAGGCCCGTACAAGCCAAATCGCAGGGACAACAGATCCCTTTCTCTTCTGGTTCAGTTTAAAGCGCATGGTGTGAAAATGACCAGCCTCTCTAGGAGCATAGACGACCAGAGAGGCGCTGGCGAGAGCCCGTCTCACAAACCCGAGATGTCCAGGTACCGCAGCTGGAGCAGTCTTCGCTTCTCAAGATGGAGAAGTGGCTCCCAGAGGACGACCCCGCCTGGCACCCCCTCACCGAAGGTAGAGAAGAAGGCCGATGTGACCAGGACGCTCCTCTCCTTGGTTCAGACTCACAATGATGACTACACAGCAGATCCAGATGGTCTGCTGGACATCAACGAGGAGGGCGAGGGAGACAGTGATAACCCCCCATCTGACCAGTCCACCTACTTCCAGAAGCAGTTTGTGTCCATGCTGCAGCCCGGGGTCAACAAGTTCTCCCTGCGCATGTTTGGCAGTCATAAAGGTGTTGCTGCTGAGCAGGCCAGGGTCAAGAGCTTTGGAGTGTGGATCATCCACCCGTACAGTGACTTCAGGTAATGATGAGGTCATCTTCATGGTTTCCTAATGTCCTCTTAATGGTCCTCTGTGTAGGATTTAGTTACATCTAATGGTGAGGACAGCAGATTGCAACCTGCTGAAACTTCTCTTATGTGCAAAGTGTGAAGTCCCAGTTAGAATTTCCTCAGTGTTCATTGTTCAGGAGGTTTCTCCTCTCCAGGACAAAAGGACCAGGTGATTAAAACCAATAACATGTTACAAATAAGTGTTTCTGTTTGGCGCATCACAGACGGATGGCAAGCCTAGCACCTGCAAATATGTGCGCACTGTTTTCTCAGACAGTCCACCTTGTTTCTGATGCAGGAGTTAGGGAGGTTTTTACTGGGAGCCGAATTACTCGCAGAGGTCTCCTCCTCTTCAAAACATACAGATCCATTGATTTAAACCAATGAAAACACTAAATAAAGCAGTTTCACGTTACAAATCAGTGTTTTGCTGACACTGTTCTGCATGTCCGAGACGGATGGCTCACCTTCCCAAGTTCCTTTGTGCTTACCTTTTTTCTCTGATAACTTAAAATCCAGACGTTCAGGTGGTTTTTACCGTGAGCCAAATTACCTGCAGAGGTCTCTTCCTCTCTAAAACAAATGGACCTGGTGATGGAAACCATTACAAACACAGACTCAAGCAGTTTCATGTTAAAAAGTGTTTCTCTGACGCTGCTCAGTGCGATGGCTGATGCAAAAGCATGAATGGCTCAATCTAGAGCCGGTGTGTGGTTTGTCTGTTGCAGACAGGCTGCTTGCCCATCACCTGCAAATTACGCTACTGTCAAAACATGGTGATGCAACAAGACAGAGTCCATGAACGAGGACCCGCTCCCTACGTAAATATAAATGGCTCATTCTAAGATAGCAAAAATAACGATTGTTATTTTCAGGTGATTATACACCAAACAAAATATACTTATTATATTGTATTTCTGGCATTATATCCCCCAGATCCTACACACTGGACCTTTAAATTTAGTGCTGTTCATGAGGAAGTTCGTCTACATTCTACACAATAGTGGAAGGACATGCATGGGTGAAAACACAAGTCAGTAACCTTCTAACACAATAGTCTTCAAGTCGTGATTGATATTCTGTTAGCTTCCCTTGAAAGCATCCAGTTTTCATCCAATCAAACAGCCTGTGGCAGTGCTCAGATCCAGTTTTTCCAAGGGCAGACTTCAGTACAGCAGCTGATGTCATGGTCCCTCGCACATGGTAAGGCGATGAAGGGATTTGATTAGTAATACAGTATATAGGACAAGATCATCTGGATTAATAATACCACCGGTGACTCCCTCTCTCTCTCTCTCTCTCTCTCTCTCTCTCTCTCTCTCTCTCTCTCTGTTCAGCAGGAGGGAGAACTCCATTCATTGATCCTGTCAGTTTAAGTGATCCAATATATTCCATTTGAAAAAAATTTTTTTGCTCTGGTTTGGCCTCAGTTTTGGAGGATTAATGAGATCATTCAGCTTTTGGGCCTGAGCAACATCTTAGCAGCGATGCTCCAAACAATCTGTCTGTGTGGTGACTAATAATAGCTGCCATCAAATTTAAACAATTTTTAAACTTCAGGCCCTACGCCAGACAGAGAGGATAACCCCGTGCAGAGGGATTATTGCCCAGAAGAATCCCTATAATTCCAATCTTGCTCTATTATGCAATAATACACAGACAGCTGAGGGGGGGGATTACCGAAGGCCTGCTCTCCTTAAACCGTATGCTCCAACTTTCCCTTTAAAATGGATGAGTTGGGAGAGCACATTTTGGGTGTTCAGCTTTTCTGTTTAGTGGTTAAAGTTGGATAGAAGGTTTCTTGCAGTATTTTCGATCCAATTTCAAAGCTGGTGAATAAGCAGATTTGTTGGTTGATAGATAGATAGATAGATAGATAGATAGATAGTGGGAGACAGACAGAGAGAGAGAAAGGCATTTTGGCTTTTATTCCGAGGTGGATGATAGACAAGTGATAGGAAATGAGGAGACTGAGAAGGGAAAATTACATGTAACAAAGGTCCCTTACTAGAATCCAACACAGGGTGTTGCAGTCACATTATATGGTACATGTCGTGTGATGGACTTGGAAGTTTCATTTACACGATGGCCACTATGTCAAATGGCTTTAAAGTCCGGCGCACTTCCTGGGGGCCAGGTTTTGTAGCCTTGTGTTTGGCATTCTAGCCGTCGTCATTTGGGTTTTTTGGAGCAAGAAGTGACCATATTTGTAGAAGAGGGTGGAGCTGTGGAGGAGCAAGGGGTGGATCTGACTTAGAAACCGAGTGTTAAGTTTAGGTTTTTGGCTGAACCCCAAAGCAGAGACGGACGCAGGTGTATGGAAACAGAAGTTTATTGACGAAGGGAGAAACAAAGCTACAGGCAGTGGAAGCAGGGTGACGACTGGCTAGGAGGTTGTCCACCAGTGAAGAGAGATGGCTCTCAGGAGGTGACACAAGGGCTAAGCACATGGAAAACAGGGCAAAAATACAAGTAAGCACAAAAAGTCACGAGGCACAAAAAACTCAATTAAGAAATCACTACTGAAGGAATATTGGGAAAGAGAACGCTTGATATTACCCACTCAGATGGAATTATCTGGCAGAGTAGTGGAGTGAAGACCACGTATATGTAGGCAGGTTGATGAGCTGAGTGGAAACAGGTGTACTTCGTCAGCTGCAGTGGGAAGAGCCAGAAAAGGAAGGGGGAAAGGGAGAACACACAAAATCCACCCAAAAACCAAAACCAAAACAGAATCATCACACCAAGGATACTATCCACAGACAGCCTGTCGCTCAAAGCAGCCCACCCATGTTTGTTGAGATTAGCTATAAAGACCAAAACTGTTTTTTTTTTTTTTTTTCAGGTCACAGAATGAATCTATATCTGATAAATCTGTTACAATTGAATCCATGCCATAATAATCTGGGCTGCTCTAATTGCAATTATATAACAGTTAGTTCCAACAATTAATATGATTGGACACTTCATGAGTGCTGATACAGAATATAACATCACTGGGACTTTTAACCATACGTAACACTCCGCTTTCCGCAGGTGTTCCAAACTGTTAATTATATTAACAGTAGGTGTAATTACATTAACAGTTGGTCGTTATCTGACGTTACCTTAGATTATACCAAATTTAACACCACAAAGATGACCATATTCCCAGAGATAACATATGAGTTCAATTATGTTAATGTGATGATAGTAGTTTTAAATTCCATGCTGACTCCGACCTGCATTCAGTGTCTCTGTCCATGGAAGCAGCCGTCTGTCCTCTCAGCTCCTGGGGAGGACAGAGGCAAACTGCCTTCACCAGGCTGACTGACAGCAAAAATATACTGAACCAAAATACCTTCATGTCAGCCCCATGGGAAGAAATCAGCAGTGTTTGTATTACTATTGATTAATTGATTTTATTTCCAATCTCACTGTAGCAAGTGAGGGGAATCTATCGCTTACAGACAGACTGGGAGCTGATCAATCAATGTAGATACGTCAATAAATTATTAACAAATACAGTGGGATATCACGCAGGGGGTCTGTGCAGGGGGTTATTGTGGAGACAACTAAAGCATTTCACTGAAGCATAACTTGAAAATGACGTGGTACTGTTAAATTTCTGTTGAGCGCTACTGCGGCCTTGTATCTACAACCGAATTACAGTCGTGATGATATTCAGAATAACAGCACTTCCTCTTGTTAAACTTGGTCTTCAACAATCTGAATTAAATATTAGGCCAACAGAGAAACATTTATGCAATGATATTAGATTTCTTTAGGTAATACTGTAGATTTGGGGGCTTTTGAGAAAACATTTTCAAGCCAGCACCCCCTGTTCAGCCCGAGTCACAGGATCACCAGAGTCATTAGGGTTCATCTTCTGAGGAGCATGAATATTCATTGAAATTTTTATGGCAATCCATGTTATAGTTGTTAACATATTTCAGTCTGGACCATCACTGTCATCCAGCCACACCACTAGCATGGCTTTCAAGGGTAATAATGACAGAAAAATGGCAGATAGTTGAGCTAAAACTAAATCAATTTTATAAGCAGATTCAATCCTGTATTCAGATTAAACATAAAATGCTATATAATCACAGTCCCATTCATATTCCACCCACGCTGTTATTACTAGCCAACACGTCTAAAGGTTTTTGTACAGCAGAATTAACTGCTTCTTGGTACACACACACACATACACACACTTCATGTAAACAGACATAATGCTGTCTAGACTCTTTGGTGGAGTTATTAGCAGGAAGCAACCACTAATCTGTTGCAACATGAGAGGAGATAATAAGTAGTTATGTAAAACAGCATGTAGACGCAGATGACATGGATGCAAGAGATTGATGACAGGATCAACGTGAATGAGAATGAGGAACTAATCTATCGCTTCCTGTACCTCTGCCCTCAGTGGCTTAAGAAGATGGTCGTTTTCTCACAGGGTTCATATTGCATTCACTGGAGGTTGACGGTAATCAAAAATATACTGGTACATATTCTGTTACTGTGCCTGTGTAATGAAAAGAGAGACTGAGAGTGAGACAGAGAGCCACACGATGTGATTGACACTTGATGGAAACAATCTGTAAGGAAACCCAAACCATGTACCTGTGTTGTATAACGAGACACTAGAGACTTATAGGAAAATGGGACTTGTATGCATGAAGCAGACAGTGCAGACGTCTCGGCTTCAACGTCCTGAAAGCAGCAGGCTGTCAGTCATTCGCAGTCGTAGTAACGTTTAGCTTTTCCACATTGTCTTCATATTGAGCCTGAAGAGGTAAATACCATGCATTTTTAATGAGAGGGGGTTCCTCCTGTGACAAGAGCTCGTTATGAGAGCAAGGGTCACTCTGAAATGGGTCATTCCCTGGATGGCACACTGACTTTCTGACTGGATGATATCACTTGACCTTGATGGCTTTTTCAAAGTCCGTAACTTAAAGGAATACTTCACCCATAAAATGATCATTTGTATATCAGTTACTCACCCCAGTTTACATTAATTTCATAATGAAAACTTTGTTGTTTTTGCATGCCTCACAGTTGAATGGAAAATCCCAAAATGTAGAAAATTCTTAATGAATTGGTGTAAAAGGGGTCCACATTTAAGAACAGAACATTAAAGCATCTGTTTACAAACTCGTGCAGTATGATCCAAGTCTCATATAACCAAACACATGTATTTAGCTTAAACCTTGCCACTACAGGGTTCCTACAGCTTAAGGCAAGTTAGATTTAAGACTCTTCAAGACTTTTTCAATGCCACAAGAAGAAAAAAATTGTCACATAAAACTGGGAAATACCTGGCGTTCTTTGGCCAGTTTTCATGGCAATTTCTTATTTCTCACTTTGCATGTGAGATTTCACTGTCTTAAATCCATCGTGCCGAGTTTGAAAAACTTTTTGCATTAAATATACAAAGTCTCATATGTATTACCACGTTGCGAAATCTTGGTTAAATAGCCATTTTTCGTGCATTTGCACTTCACCATTTTGTCCAAGGTAAAGTGGCAGCTAGCAGACAGAGCATCTTCTGCTCTGAGCATCCCAGCTAGCAGCAAAATGTGAGTGTTGTTTGTTCCACTATCCTGATCTGTGTAACATTAATGTGAGAGGCATTCAGTCAATTATTAGAAAAAAGATACCAATTATTGTAAGATTTTATCATTTAACATTCCCATGTCTTTGCATTTTTTAGACTTTTGAAAAATAAATTTAAGATATTTTAAGACATTTCAATGCCTTTTCAGACTCCTTAAGGATTCACAGGAACCCTGCATTCAAAACAAATCCAAATGCGAGTAGTGCACCTGGGCAAGCATGTGCATTTGTGCTCAGTGGAATGCACAAGCAGAGTTCAAACACGTTTGCCCAGGTGCGTTAACTGTCTTTACATGAGGCTTTTAAAGTGGAAATGTTTCAAATAGTAAAGTCTTAGCAAAAACACATGTGTTTGGGAAGTACTGAGCATACAACTGGAGACATAAGACCTGCATTAAACCACAGGAGTTGTGTGAGAAATTGTAAATGGATGTTTTGATATAGTTTAGCTGTTGTTGAATATGGTAACCCTCTCCTTTAATTCATCAAGAATTTTCTACGTTTTTCGATTCCTCTTTCATGGAAACATGTGAAAAAAACAGTTTTCCTCATAAATACAATGTAACACGGGGTGAGAAATTGATATACAAATGATTATTTTGTGGGTGGAGTATTCCTTTAAAAGAATACTTTGGCAGTTTGGGCCCATTTGTTTTCATTCTTTCTCGCTTTTATATCTTGTTGTATAATTCATACACAAACAGAAACGCTGTGATTTAACGGGGCCACTGGCGAGGCAACTAGATAAGCCAAATATCTCTTTTCACCAGTTCTTTACTTAAAGGACAGACATGCGAGTAGGATCAATCTACTCATTTATCTAATCATATTTCCAAAAAGTATTCCTTTGTGTTGAAACTCTGTAACTTTCAGTGTCAAGGGAAATATCAGTGAGAGCACTGCTCTGTTTTTCACATCTGGAATGCATGTAATGCGACCTCGCTGTATGTCACCGGTGTGTCTCTATCAAGTTACCGTATGATAAACAGTAGAGACACACTGACGCACCCACAGCAAAACAAACGCTGCCTGGGTGACACCAACAGACCCCATAACAATTCATTTATCTGTTATGTGAACAGATTTCGTCTATAAGCCCTATGCTGCCAGCAGGGATAAGGCCTTTAACCTTGGCGAAGCTCCCTGAGCTGCTTCCTGAACTCTGAACTCAAAGAAGTTCAAATCGGGCGATTAACTTGACAACCAGCTCCATTACCAGGATTTACTCATATCCGTACACACACATGTATATACCAAGAACACTTAAATGTATGAGCCAGTTTGTGAAGCTTGTACATTATCGATCACACGTAAATATTGTCATTACCATCATTCCTACATTTTATTTATTGTTTCTTTGGTTATGAATCTCATAATTTAATTCAGCAGAACTTTCATGTTAGCCTGCAACAGACAGACTAGAAATAGGAATATTCAATTTGTTTCTTTTCTTTGAATATTATTATTTATTAACAATTTAGCAGCACCTGTACTTACTAGTGGTAACAGCAAATGTGGTTTTCAGCTCACAGAGCTCTGGGGCAGCAAAGCGAACTGTTGTCGTTTTAAATAAGAAGTCAGGCAATCATTTGGCCTTTTTCCATCATTCTGTGAGCAATCGTTATCTGATTTCACGCTGCACACGACATGTGTCTGTGGACAGCAGGGCATAGTCAAAGGAGTTGGTTATCTCGCTATGGTTGAAGGTGTGCAGCCTGTTGCCTGCAGCTTTTCATCTAACAGCTTGCTATAGCTCCATTACTCCCTACAATATTTAAAACTGATCAATGCCAAAAATGACCATTTATTGTTTAGTTAAAGGGGACATAGTGTGCTTATTTTAATCAGGAAAAAGCTGATAGCAGGAATGAGCAGCTAGTAGCAAGAGGGAAACGCAAACCTGAAAGACACTGTAAAGATGAGCAACTGGGGAGACATGGAATTGTGCGCCCTCCTTGCCTTCGCAAACGAAGAGGCCATTAACCGTCAGATGATGGGGATGGTGAAGGATGGGCCGACTTTTGAGAGAATCGCCGAAGGACTGACCAGCCGCGGCTTCCCTCCCACGTCACGGTTTAGGTCAAGCACTGAGCTACATGTTTTGTTACTTGCTTACGCCCCCCATTGCCCCGAAAAAGGCACATTCTGTATAAACAAAAGTAGGCAGGTGGCATTTTGCTGCACTCCCCGATTTTGATTTTATATTGCCACACTGATTGGGCTTTCCTACAAATTTGCACATTTCCTAAAGGGCTTTAGTGTCTCTGCACTGTCATTGCAGCCAGGGAAATGATTATCATAGAGTATAGCAGTCACCAATAAAAGCTTCTAAACACAAGTGGACATGTTCCAACAGGAATAGGATCTGAAATAGGGGCAAATTTTACAACAACCAGGATTACATGTTGCCCTGATGTTAGCATGTAGCTTCTCTTCGCAGTGTTTGTAATGTAAACACATGCAGTAGTGAGCCAGGAGCGCAAGACCATATAAAAAATCCAGCACACTATGATGTCATACTGTAGCTAAAGTACAAGAGTATTCAGAACGGTCTAAAGCCGGAGGTTTTTGTTTACAGGTATTACTGCTACATAGATTTTCTTCAGTATTTGAATCTTTGGTCACATTTAATTTGATCATCCTTCATTGTAAAACTATATGAGACACAAAATATGGAAAATCATAAGAAGTCCCCTTTAAATACTTTTAATGTGAAGCTGCAGTTGTAGAAAATGTTTGGTTTTTATCCACAAATGTCACCAACAACACCCAGTTATATTACTGCAAATATATAAAATAAAATACACACTGTCCAGCTCATTTATACTGGATCCAACTTCGGCTGTCACTCCTTGTCTTGAGCAGAATTCCATTGTAACTACACTGAGCGTGACTTGGACAGCATTAAGTGCTTAAATAAGAAGCAAAAACCTCTACTTGTGAGGTCAGTGGTTAACAGAACCCTTAGTATTGTAATAATAAGGAGCAAAACATTCATTTTTAATGTGCACTCTTATTCGGAGTATTCAGTTTGTGTATTCTGACAAAGAACTGATCTGTGAGCACTGCAGACTCGTCTTTGCTGTTAAATCCTGTGCACAATGGACACTGGATCTATCTGTATAGCAGTAGTGGAAAATGGTTTGGGGTTTAGTTGTACATAAAATGCTCACTGCTTTATATCTGGATGTCTTCAACCTTCCACCACTCGTGTTCTGTCCAGGTTTTACTGGGACATTGTGATGCTCCTGTTGATGATGAGCAATCTGGTCATTTTGCCGTGGGGCATCACCTTCTTTGAAGACCAGAACACCATGCCCTGGATCACCTTCAACGTCCTCTCTGACACTCTCTTCCTCATGGACCTGGTTTTCAATTTCCGCACGGGCATCCCGGGAGAGGATAGCCACATCATCCTGGACCCCAAAGAGATCCGCATGCACTACCTGCGCACCTGGTTCATGGTGGACTTTGTCTCTTCCATCCCCGTCGACTACATCTTCCTCATCGTCGACCTGGAGTCCCGGCACGAGTCATCTGATGTGTACCGCACTGCCCGCGCCCTCCGCATTGTGCGCTTCACCAAGATCCTCAGTCTGTTGCGTCTTCTCAGACTGTCTCGCCTCATCCGCTACATTCACCAGTGGGAGGAGGTAAAGGAAGGAGTAGAGGCATAACTCCCTGCAGACATACAAACATCAGCTATTCAACTTTTGTCCAGTTTAATGTCTCTTTCCTCTATACCACTTTCTCTCTCAGATTTTCCACATGACTTATGACCTGGCCAGTGCTGTGGTGCGTATAGTCAACTTGATCGGTATGATGCTGCTGTTGTGCCACTGGGATGGCTGCCTGACCTTCATGGTGCCTATGCTGCAAGAGTTCCCCCCAGACTGCTGGGTATCCAAAAATAACATGGTGGTGAGGACATTAATAAACATACTCACACACATGACTTATGATATGTATAAACATGGAAAACTTGGAAAATATCTATGTTCTAATTATGGGGAAAATTTCATTTACACTGAAGTGAATACTTATTCATTATTTCATCATAATCTAAAATCTCATTCTTGATATATTGTATGCTGAATTGTATTGCCTGTTACGGTCACAGCTTGTTCAGCTGACCTGCTGTGCACTGACCAAAAGATCAAAAAATTGAGTTAATGATTGTGGGAAATGCACCTTTTTGCTTTCTTGCCAAGAGTTAACTGATAAGATTGATACCACTCCCCCATCTTTCTCATGTAACTCTGGTAGGCATTGGACTATATGAAAATTTCACATCATGATTATCCACGCCAAACTAATTGCAATTCACAAATAATCCTGATAATCATCAAAATATGCTTAAAACTCTTAAAGTGGCACTAAAATACAGTGGAATCACTTAACCTTATGTTTTGTTGAAGGTATACCATGCAGGATGGTCGGTTACCATTTGTAAACACTCTCACTAGTGAAAGTGACAGGAAAACCCGACCTCGGATTCAATCTTGTTTGGCGTTTTGCTTTGTTACATATGCATTTTTCAGGGCAGTTTCTCTTGAATGCCTGCTGCTTACTGGCCCTGGTTGCTACCTTTTTATAAAGCCCCCACCTCAGCTGAGCGCTGTGAGGGTACACGCCCTTAAACATCCTGAACACAGAAAATAAGAAAATACAGGCAGAGGGCAGAGTCTCTGCATAAAAATACACCACGGCACTCTTCTCGTGGGTTGTAAGTGATGATTGAGAGGGGTTATGTTACTTCTGCATGAGTGTATACTTTGTTTTTTAGGAAAATCCTACATGGGATATTTTTTTTTTGTGAACATATTTTTTTGTGGGGAAAAAAAAAATCATTCAAAGCCAGCACTTTAACTATTTGAAATGGCATCATATCTTTTGATATGAATTATGCCAGTACTTGATTAAGATCTGTTGCCGTTTTTGAGGTTGATGCATAGAGATGTGCAGAGCCTCCTTAGTTACCTAGCAGTCTCTTTGGATGCTGCAAAATATTCATGATTATCCTGATAATGGAAATTCCCCCAAAATCAACATATTGTGAGTGTTTTTTATCGTAATCTCCAATAAAATCATATCTTCCGATTCCTAAACTGCAGCAAGCAAGTGAATAAGTGTATTTCCCCAAACTATTTCTTTAATTTCAAGTGCACCAACTGTGTTTATTGTCCTTATAATTCATTAGAAATGATATTATTCAAGGAAACTTTTAGGAAATTATTACGATCTGTAAAATAATGTTACCAAAAACTTCACTTATGCTGCATTCGTTTGGCCTCTCAGCCAATTTAATTATGGTCATAAAGTATATTTTTTTATTACATCACCACAGTAACCTCTTGCCTTGTTTTTTATTCCTTCCCAGAATTCCACATGGCATCTTCAGTACTCCTACGCTCTGTTCATGGCCATGAGTCACATGCTGTGTATAGGTTACGGTGCCCACCCTCCAGAGGGCATGACTGACGTTTGGCTCACCATGATCAGTATGGTCGTGGGGGCCACGTGCTACGCTATGTTCCTTGGTCACGCAACTAACCTGGTCCAGTCATTGGATGCATCACATCGCCAGTATCAAGAGAAGGTAACCACCTCTGCACTGACTGGAAAAGATTAACAGACTAAAACATTTTGACCTACAGCTTCAGTTACTTTGTGCGCAATATGTCCCAGGAGCTTCACGTGGATGCTAATGTGACTCTGGCTGCGAGGTTTAATATCACAGCCATGTTTTATATCACAGGCTTGCTTACTACTCGTACTTTATTCGTGGAAATTGTGCCAAATGCCTAGAGAATATGTGTATTATCTAATGGATTTTGTGGCCTTACTGTGACCCTTTCTGGGGATTTTCGCAAGATAAAGCAGCTCGCATGATAGACAAATGGCGGCACCTTTGTTTTGGATCACCGTTCGCTAATGCCCATTACAAATGAGTTTGTAATCCACTTTAAATGGGGGGGTAAAAACTGCAAAACAAATAGAGTAAATGCATAATTGTTGTACTCAGAAATAATTCAGCAAACACATGGTAGGAAATGTGACTAAATGTGACATCTGACATCAGCTGTGTGGAATTTCACTTGTGTTCTCATGAAGGTCAAATCTCCATGTGCTTTGTACAAATGTTTTCAGTATAAGCAAGTGGAGCAGTACATGTCGTTCCACAAACTGCCGGCAGACGTGAGACAGAGGATTCATGATTATTACGAGCAGCGATTCCAAGGCAAGATGTTTGATGAGGACAGCATCCTCGGCGAGCTCAGTGATCCACTGAAGGAGGTGTGTTAGTTATTAAACCTTCCATTTGACTTCCTGTTTCTGGCCTTGTCTCAATTCCTTTCTTTTATTGACACATGTCCAAAAGATAAGTTATCAATTATCAAAAAAGTTGCTGATTATTTTTCAGTGAAGTGACTTATTGTTTCAGCTCCAAATCAACTTTTACCCAGTTAGAATTCCCTCAGTGTTCATTGTTCAGGAGGTTTTTAATGTGGGCCGAATTATTCGCAGAGGTCTCTTTCTCTCTAGAACAAATGGACAACAAACAGGTGATTAAAACTGGTAAAAACTCTGAATAAACCAGTTTAACATTAAAAATCAGTGTTTCCCTTACCCTGTTTGGCACATTGCAGATGGGTAACTAGCCCAGAACTAGCTAATGTGTGCTCACCTTTTTTCTCTGATACCTTAAGATCCAGACATGCAGGAGGTTTTTACCAGGAGCTGAAATATCTGCAAAGGTCTCTTTCTCCCCCATAAAACAATTTAAACCAATTAACATATCGAATAAAGCAGTTTCGTGTTGATAAATCCATGTTTTACCAACACTGCTCAGGGGGCCGTGAACTATGGTGGGCAACACAAAAATTAAAATGGCCCTATCAGGAGACAGTTTTCGGTTTATCCCTACTGGGCTACTGTAGAAACATGGCAGTACAACATGGTGAGCTCTGTGGACAAGGACCCACCTCCTGTGTAGATATAAATGGCCCCTAAAGTAACAAAAACACAAGTCTTATTTTCAGGTGATTATACACTAAAGAAAACACACTTATCATATTAAATTCCTACCAGTATATCCCCCTAACTCCTTTAAAAAAATAAGTAAATGATATCAATAGAAAACCTAGAGATACTTTTTTTCTACTTTATTCGAAACCCATCATGTGAATAGACGCTTTTAGTTTTGTTAAATGCCACTACCACTACTCCCCATCCAAACAATTTTTACACAAATACATTTTGAAAGCATTTATATTATTAAAATATTCATTTAATAACTAGATGGTAACGGCAGTCGGCCAATCAACTGAAGAATGCTTGCGGTGATTGGCTGCAAGCAAAACCGAACAAAGAGTATTTTTTTTCTAGATCTGGATACAAAAAGGATCAAATGCAGGTATAGTTTGACAAGTGAAATTGGAGCACTGCTTGGTACTGGGTTAATATTAGTCATTTTCACTATTTATTAATATGTTCATTTTCAATTATTCCTGGATTAACTGATTAATGTTTGGTCTAAAATGGTCAAACCGTGCCCAAAATTTTGGGGACTTGTTTCAAAACATAGTGTTGGGCAGTATGAAGTTTTGAATGCCATATTTTTCACTATTTTTAAAAGTTTCATTGACTTTAAGACTGATGGAAAAAATCAGCAAATCAAACAATCAGGAGTCACAGCACCAGCCTTGTTTTGTCTTAACAGCCAACCAAGTCCCAAATATATTTAAATTACAGTAGACAAAGGGAAGTTGCAGATCCTCACAAAATGAGAGTTAGAACAAGATTATGTTTTACATTTTTTAAATAATACAACTAATAAATTATCATAACAGTTTCCTGTTTGACTAATTGATTGACTAAGCATTTCAGCTTTCAAACAATTTTGTCATGTCTTCTCTTTTCCCTTTCTCCCCATTGTGCAGGAAATTGTCAGCTATAACTGCCGGGGCCTCGTAGCCAACATGCCACTGTTTGCCAACACCGACCCTCATTTTGTGACAGTGATCCTGACCAAGCTGCGCTTTGAAGTTTTCCAACCTTCAGACTTGATTATACGAGAAGGGACGCTGGGTCGGAAAATGTACTTCATCCAGCACGGTACCGTAACTGTCATCCCGCGTGGCAGTAAGGAGATTACGCTCAATGATGGAGCATATTTTGGAGGTAAATTATTTGAGTTCAACCTTCAAAACATTTTCCCATCAGATCTATATGAAGCTCTGTGGTTGTGTTTCCTCTTTGTTGCTGCTCTCCTGTAGTTAAAAGGGCTCTGGACCACATTCAGAGCGCATCTGTAATTCAGAGGTTGTCTACACATGGCTCTCAACATGGTGGTGGCTGAGCCTGTGTCTAGCAGCTAACGGTGTGAATAAAAAACCTTTCTACAACTATCACTGCGCAGACTGAAGTGTGCATCTACTCATGGATGAGAGGCTCATGCTCATGACAGCGCAGCAATAGATGCATGCTACCTTTTGTGTGGTGGTATGGTTGGTGGGTGTAGTTTGGTAGAAAGAAAATAGTTCCTACACGAAGCTGCCCATAACAAGTTCTGTGTATTATCTTGAGTAATATGGTCATGATTTCTGTAAAGAGACATTGCTGTTTTTCAAATGTTTTTTTTTGGCACTTGAGCACCACAAGCCGAGTGCCATCTAGTTCTGTTATATTTAAGAGAAGGGAGACATCACTACAGCTGATATCTCCTACTCTCAACAACTCACATCAAAACAATCTAGGCTGATAAATAGCACTACAGGTAAGAGGAAAAATATGTGTTTTCGATTGTAGGATCAATTACCCCTTTAACTCTTGAAAATAGTGTATTTTCCAATGCATATACACAAACTACGGCTTAAAAGGTTGAACTGACTCTCGCTTCCTTGTTCCAGAGATCTGCCTGCTAACCCAAGGACGACGCACAGCCACTGTGAGGGCTGACACCTACTGTCGCCTTTACTCCCTGAGTGTGGACAGTTTCAATGAGGTCCTGGAGGAGCATCCTCTGATGAGGAGGGCATTTGAGAGTGTGGCTGTGGACAGACTGGGCCGGGTTGCTCGCAGACCCAGTTATCAGCCTCCCCCAGCTGACTGACTTCCTTAATAAACAACAGACTCCTGTCAGAAATGCGGAGGATATTTGTAACAAACACTGCGACAGAACTTAACAAAGAAACCTTCAATGGAAATGTTACCAACTACTGTTTATTATAGTGCTCAGTGATGGACAACCTGATGGAGACCCTCCGTTTTATTTATTAACACGTTATTGCTGCACTTGATTGAAAATACGCACCTTCAGTTGATTTAATTTTGGATCTCAATAAGCTATGTGATCACTTTGGTGTTAGATATTTGTACACATTTCATGTTAGATTAATTGTTTCAATGTTTGAATCAATGAATCACTATTTTCTTGTTTCTTTAGCAGCTGACATTTTTGGTGGTGCATGTGCTTTTTACCAATGGCAACATTAGCTTCTCCAAATGTAAATACCTCTTTAAGAATCATTTTTAGTTACATGCTTGCTTCCTGAGATTGCAGTTTCATTATCCATCGCATCACTCATATGGGATATCAGAAGCACACAGGATCACCGGCTGAGCGTCATACAGCTGTACGTAGCTCTGACTCTAATGACCCTTCAGGGCTGTAGGTTGCATCAAGTCACGTTTTAATACCAGTGTTCACTGAGGATAAGCTGCAGTGATGTAATAACTCTACAGAGTATGTTTGTACACAGTTATACATCACTGTTTAAATTTATATCTGAAGAGATAATCTGAAAAGTCTTTGCATCTCAACAGTTCAGTATTCAGTATTACAGACTTTGATTTTTCCCCACACATAGATTTAAGTTACTCACTCTCCCTTTAATTTGCACTTAAATCTGTTTTCATTTTCTGTGGGCAAGTATTTTGCAAGCATAATTCTGGCTTATTCAAATTTTTTTTAAGCAGATTATGTCGTTAATTAGCAAATAATTCTGAAGAATTTCATGTTTCCAAAGAAACTGACTCATTTTAACATATAACTGACAGACAAAACAAACATCTCATGTATGTGAGCTGTTATTACTGTGTTGATTGATAGTGTTGTTTTTTTTCAGGTAAATGTGATGCATCCATTTTACAGTAATGTAAATGTACATACATATGCATGTATGTAATTTAATATCACTTCAATTTGATTAATATTAACCCTGATGCTCAGCCTATCCTCTTTATTTAGACTTTCTAAAGACTGATCCTCATACTGATGATGTCATGTAAATACGAATATTTCTACCCTTTAAACATGAATATAAAAAATGTATTTTGACTATGACTTTGTTTCGGAGATGTTATTCATAACTGCCAATGCGCGCGCACACACACACACACACCCCCACACACACACCACAGATGAAAGATATATTTAGATGTCCCATTTAAGTAAAATAAGTAATATCACAACGTAATAAGAAAGACAAAATGATACTTGGGTATATTATTATGTGCTAGTATTGAAGGCAGAAGTTGCCATTATCTAAGGACCCTGTTGCAGTATTATAGATTATATTATATTATATTATATTATGTTGTTGGGGCAGTAACATATTAATATTCTAATGATGAAGGTAGTTGAGGTGGAGCTAATTTTAACTCTTAAGAAGACCCCTATGGTGTTGAGTATAGTCTGCATAGCAAAGAGTCATATTTTATCACATACAGTTGAAGGTGATCTTATATTTTGTTTATTTAAAGCCTTTTTCCGGCAAGAAATGAGTAAATATAGCTGTCAGAGTTCGAAAAAACCACACTATTTCCCTCTGAAATCACTTAGAATTGAAGTATAGCAGTAAATGCAAATACTCAGGTACTGCAGAAGCACCTCTAAACACACACACACGCACACGCTGACCTTTAGTGCGGACAGACTATTGTTATGAAATATCAATCATCGGCATGTTGTGCAACCAAAACATTTAAATAAGCCTCCATAGCGCAGCAGCTGAGCTGTGTTGTTGATGACAACTTCCGGCTGTGTCCATCCACTTCCTGTCTGATTTCGTAAACTCGGGACGAGAGAAGGTAAGAAGGGCTGAGTGTTTGCTAACTGACTACTTATCTAAACTACTTATCATTTGATTTCTTCAATGCAGCTGCTATTGCAGCTAATAGTAACGAATTCATTGATGTGATAACAGTCTGATATTTGAATGCAGTGTCGTAAATCCGCTGCTTTTATTCTGACATTACAAGGTTAACCGCTAGCTAACTTAGCTTAGCCCCAGGCTAGCAGTAGCTAGCAACATGAGCATGGGGGTCAGTGTGTGCACTTAAAATGACACTCAAGCGAGGCGAAAAGGTTTATATGTGTCCCTGATTATTCTATTTCTTCTCAAGCGCGTTGACCTAAAGTACATCACCTGAAGGTGGACCGGTAACATTGCTTTCAGCCGCCCTTTGTTAGCTAACTCTCAACACCTGACATAACAACATCACATAACAAGTTACACAAGGTTTCTGTCGGACAGTGTTATTCAAATACATATTGGTTCCACCATAAAACATGTTAACACACATTAAACAAAGTTAATCCAGTGTTGGTTACTTTAATCGTGTTTAAATATAATGCTACTGGAATAAAATTACTGTTTTTGTTTTGATGCTGCTGCTGCATGGGTTGGAAAAGCTGTGGGGCAGTTCTGACAAAAGATTGTTATTACAGCATGACTCCTTATTAAAACACAGATGTATTATACATGTATTATTGATACATGATAGGGCAATAATAATGTACACAAATCCATGATATATCTTGCCAAGGAATATAATTTATAGATCTAAGTGGTTGATGAGTCCACTGGGCTACTGGAAAAGCAAGATGGCACTTACATTTACAGCAAGCACTCATCAGTTTGCAAATATCTCCCAGAAAGATACATGGTGAAAGTCTTCCTACATTGTTCCCCTTAACATACCTGAGTTTTGGCACCAGTACCTAACATATCTTTTCTCCATGCCTCATGTGAGAAACATGAACATGTTTTATGGTAAACCTTTTTTTTTCCATTTATTAAAAGTTCTTTCACCAATGTTAAATGGTACATATAAAGATAAATATGACTGACAAATAATTAAACACAAGAATCAGACAACACAATTCGATGCTAACTTTAAGTATTCAACAGTTTGCAATGTGTAATGCTATAGGCACATTTAATACCACTACTAATGCTACTACTTTTAGTGTAGATGATGCATGATATTATAAATAAATCCACCATGTGATTCTTCTCTGCTTAAACTTCCAGGAATACAAGGGAAACACAGTTTACTGTCTTGTATTTGAAAATGATGTGTGAATAAAGCTGTAACAATTTGTTCATTAATCAATGAGTTCATAGACAGTAAATCAATATGCAATTGTTTTGATGAGCAGTTATTCATGAAAGTAATTTTTTAAGCATCAGTGCCAAAAATTCTCTGGTTTCAGCCTGTCAAATGTGAGAATTTATTACTTTTGTTTGCTTTATATGATTGTATTCAAACTGAATACATCTGAGTTAGGCTATTGGTCAGTTGAAAAAACACTTTTTTCACTGTTGTCTAATATTTAAATGACCAAACTATCAATAAAAAAATAATTGGCAAACAATTAATTTGAATAATTAAGTTGAAGCCCAAGTAGGATTATTCTTCTTCTCTTGTTAAAATAATGTTATCTAAACTATTAATTTGTGTCATGTCAATGTCATGATATGGTCTCTCCTCCGTGCAGGAAGAATGTTGGCCCTGTCTCGAGCAGTGGTGTGTGGGGTGGCCCGTGCTCCAGCTGCGGTCAGTCAGGGTGGAGTGACCGCTATCGCCCGATTCAACAGCACAGCACAGGTACCTGGCCCAGATTTTGTTTAAACTAAAATTTAAATCGTTACAGTAAGATTAACATTTTTTATGTTTGTCTCATTTTCCCAGAGTGCTCCCAAGAAAACAACATACGGACCTCTGGCAGATGAGGACAGAATTTTTACAAACCTTTACGGCCGCCATGACTGGAGGTAACACACCTGATATTACGCTCATGTAAAATCTTAAACATAATATCCACGTTGATTCAACGGATCCTCATTCATGATACAAATTAATGTGCTGAGCAATAAAAGAAAAAGTATGCATGTTATTGACCTAAATAGTTTAAAACACACAAACCTCACCTGCTCATGCTTTTGCTTCAGGCTGAAGGGGGCGCTGAAGCGTGGCGACTGGTACAAAACAAAGGAGATCCTTTTGAAGGGAGTTGACTGGATTCTCAATGAGATCAAGGTTTCTGGCCTTCGTGGGAGAGGTGGAGCTGGTTTCCCAACAGGCATGAAGTGGAGCTTTATGAACAAGCCCAGCGATGGCAGGTCAGTGAGGACACAGATGGATGCACACACATCGGCTTTTTTATGATTGATATGTCATTTTATCAGATTCTTATAAAAAGACACAGATGTCTTGTTCAGTCTAAATGAACAGTGAAGAATGTCTATCTTCCTTAATTTGCACCAAAGTGTTTATGGATATAACTGACAATCAATTTCATCGTCAATGTATTGATCCTTCATTAAAAACTAACCAAAGTTAAAGTGGAAGGAGACAACTTTTCAGCTATCTAGCCATGCTAGCTAATGCTGTCTGCTTAACGGCTCCTCAATCATAACAGAACACAGTAACTTTTACCTCTGCTTATTTTAGTAAGGTCACTGCAACATGTTCTTTGTTTAGAGTATCAAATGGACAGTGGATTGAAGATGTTTGTTTATGGCTTCCAGTCTTAGCAAGTGTGGCCACTGCGATAGCGAGCCTTCAGTTTTCCAGGATAGTACCTGGTGACAGACAGAATTGCATGGTGTAAGCAAAGCCTATGAGGAACCAGTGTAAATGCACATTATAAAACATAAACAAAGAGCGTGTTTTCTTGCGTTTTGCTATTGTTAAATCACCAGTGGTAATAGTAACTGTTCTGTCATCATGATCAAAGAGATGATAAGCAGACAGCATGAGATAGCTAGCATGCTAGCTACTTGACAGTTATCTGTTCCACTTTAAAATTGATTAGTATTCTTTTGACGTCTTTACATACTATTTAGCTTGATATATTAGTGAGTGTTTTAAAAGACAAAGTTTTCTTTTCATCAACTTAATCCCTGCTAGACATGCGATTATTTTTTGTCAACACTGAAGAGCAGGTCAGCCACATTTGAATGGATGCTTTTGGTCTGTTTGGACTCACCTACCACAGTGGCTTCTCTGTGCTTAAAAAAATTGCATTATTTAACCCAGTTCTTATTTCCTACTTTAGGCCAAAGTATCTGGTGGTGAACGCAGATGAGGGAGAACCTGGCACCTGTAAGGACAGGGAGATTATGAGGAATGACCCACACAAGTTGGTGGAGGGCTGCTTGGTGGCTGGGAGGGCCATGGGGGCCCGTGCTGCTTATATTTATATCAGAGGAGAGTTCTACAATGAGTCATCCAACCTGCAGGTAAAAATGACAGCATGAAACCTGACATATAAACTATAAAATGATTGTACATTTCTAATGGATATTTCACATCACTTCATTGAAGAAAGAATTGCAGGCTACTCATGACTATAATAATTTGTGTATGTGCAGAAGACAGTGTAAATTTCATCCTGTTAAAGCACCATATTTTCTGCTTTTAGATAGCTATCAATGAGGCCTATGCTGCTGGACTCATTGGAAAGAACGCCTGTGGCTCTGGTTATGACTTTGATGTGTTTGTGATGCGTGGTGCTGGAGCGTACATCTGCGGAGAGGAGACTGCTCTTATCGAGTCCCTGGAGGGGAAGCAGGGGAAGCCCCGTCTGAAGCCCCCATTTCCTGCTGACGTGGGTGAGTTCCAAAGCACTAAGGGGGTTTACAAGTGTGGGATTAAAAAACACATTTTGGGATGCCGTGGGATGGAAGGTAGACCAAAAAATTCCTAAAACAAATGCAGCTGCGATTAAACCATAAAAGTAATCTCTCACCAGGGGCTCATTTATTCTATCTCGCATGAGAAAATAGATCTGTTAATTTCAAATGTTGTAACCATCGCGGCCCACGTACTTCCATATTACATTTATGTTGACGTAGATACATCCGCTCAATGTACAACAACAAACAAGGCGACAGCGGAGGGGATCATAGTAATATACCTTTTAGTGGAGGCGGCGTTGTAGACGATGGTGGCCTGTGAGGCCACTACATACATTGCAACACGTGGACGGAAAATTTGTTTCCCTATATTACTGATTTGTTTCGTTCTGCCATTCTTAAAATGTCTTGGTTGTGTCCTACAATCATGTCTCACATGAAATTCGTTACACTGACCCCACTATCTCCAGTGGTGCTGCTCCATTTTGTCCGTATCCCTAAGCTTTCAGAAAATGTGCAAATATACACCTGTAATGAACACAGAGTACAGTTGGAAGGTTCTGTCCATGTCCTTTTAAGCATCTTACTTTCAGCATAAATGAGCCTTAAGTTGTCAAGTTAAGTTAAGTTAAGTTGTGGAACTGAGAGAGAGCAGAATTCAAGAGCGTGCAAGGATGCCGTCACAAACACTGACACACGCGCACACAGCGAGAAAATGAATCACAACGAGAAAATGAATCACAACAGCCACATCTGAAAGCAGTGTACCGCGGGTGGCAGGCATTTACAATAGCGCAGAGAAGCGATGGTGGGATTTAATGCTTTATGGTGTCACCAGATGCAAAATAGGTGTCATGCTAAGAATAGGAAGTTTGCCCCTGGCTGCATGAATGCACATGCATTCAGTAAAAGTGGGCCTATTATTATTATGCTTTAGTTGTAAATGAATGTGGGAGACCAGAAATGCAGTCTGAAAGAATTTGTTTTGCACTATAACATTTGCAAGGAAACAGAAACTTATCCGTATTCACCAGTGTTATAAGGCATGACCTGAAGTACACACAAAATAAAATACTTGATGGTGGATCTACATTATAATGCTTTGTTTTCACCCAGGTAAATTAAAAATAGAAACTTGCGGATTGTTTTGTTTACCTTTGAAACAACCTTAGAAAAACAGTCATTTGATAATTGGGACGGCCAACATTTATCTCAGCGCAGTTTAAATTGTATTACAGGATGATTTGGGACAGTGGGGAAAAAATTAAGTTAGAGCCCTGGGATAAGATATTGAAAAACATTTCTTCATCCTAATAGTTTTTTGATGTGATTCATTGACATATCAAAAAAAAATATAGATACAAGGGCATACATTGCAAACTACTGCTGGACTCTTGTTTTTCTTGCCAAACAAAAGTGGTCCTGAAATATCTACCTCTCTTCTGCTGTCTTAAAGGTGTGTTTGGTTGCCCAACAACTGTTGCCAATGTGGAGACCGTATCCGTGGCACCCACCATCTGTCGTCGTGGTGGCACGTGGTTCCTGGGCTTCGGCAGGGAGAGAAACTCCGGCACAAAGCTCTTCAACATCTCTGGCCATGTAAACCACCCCTGCACTGTAGAAGAGGAGATGTCCATCCCTCTGAAAGACCTCATCGAGAGGCACGCAGGTACACATGAGACCAGAAATGTTTCACTAAATGTTTCTTACTTGTATCATAGGAATGATTTTGAGTTCAGAATAACACATTGGGTCTCAAACTGGGTGACAGAGTGAGCTGTTTGTGATTACTTTATGGCATGAGTTACGGGATTTTGTCAAAAAAGTCTAATGAATGGAAGAAAATTCTTTTTTCTAGTGAATTAGTAAAGCCCTCCTTAAACGATTAAGTTAAACTGGTGGAAAGGGAAAACCTAAATGCATCGTTTTTTATCTGCACCAAGGGGGGCATGGACCGGGAAGATTAAGATGGCTTAACATAAGCACACAATGAGCAATGCAGTTTTTTTTACTTAATTGAAACGAACATCCATCTGGTAGGTGGAGTGCGTGGTGGTTGGGATAACCTTCTGGCTGTAATCCCCGGTGGATCCTCAACTCCCCTTATTCCCAAGAATGTATGTGAAGACGTGCTGATGGACTTTGACGGCCTCATCCAGGCTCAGACTGGCCTGGGCACAGCTGCACTCATCGTCATGGACAAATCTGTAAGTTTGTCTCCTCTGCTGCATATTTCATCATGCATGAGGAAATCATCAAACATCTGTTACATCATCTGTGGATTTATTGTTTTATGCAGACTGACATTATTAGAGCCATCGCCCGCCTGATTGAGTTCTACAAGCATGAGAGCTGTGGCCAGTGCACACCCTGCAGAGAAGGTAAGTGCTACTTCAGCGTCACTTTATCCAACAGCTGCTCTGAACTTAAAATAATACTTAACCACCAAAACAAGTCTCTGTAAATGAATTACTCACCTTGTGTTGCACTGAATCCAGCAAAACTATATCAAAACATCCGCTCGCAATCTCTCCAACAACCCAAGTCTCATTTATCCAGTCATACAACTCAGTATTTCTCCAACACATGCACTTTCACTAAAATGATACAATCTAAAACACTTCTATCATGAGTAGCGTGCCCTGAGCCTGCCTGAGCACGTGCATGCATATGAAGTCCACTTGAACAGGGTTGGAACGTATATGCGTGCCCAGGCGCGCTATTTGGCTGTGCATGAGGTGGTTTGTACTGACATGTTTTAAATCCCTAATGTTTTAGAGAAAATGCATGTGTTTAGGAAGTACTGCACATACGATTGGATAAATTAGACTTGGATTATACTGCATGAGTTGTGTGAGAGTTTGGTCACAGATGTTTTGATGTAGTTTTGCTGTTGTTAAATGCGATCCCCTTTTACTTAAAGTCTTTGAGAACATTTTGTGTATGAAGTATTCCTGTAACACTGCACACAACAGGTCTTCCAGTGTCTTTTAATACCTCTAACAAAATTTCTCTTCCATGTGCTTCTGCAGGCGTGGACTGGATGAATAACATGATGTGGCGTTTTGTGCGAGGCGATGCACGGCCAGCTGAGATAGACATGATTTGGGAGCTCAGTAAGCAGATTGAGGGACACACTATCTGCGCCCTGGGAGATGGTGCAGCCTGGCCAGTGCAGGTAAACACATGTCTATTCATCTGCATATTAAGAGGATCATTCAAAGAATTAATAGGGGATTTGACATTTTGCAGGCTGCAGTTTGTGGTACTGTGAAATTATATTGCATTAAACAAGTTTCCAATGTTTCATGCACCCCTGCTTAAGGTGGACAGCGATGACAATAGAATTTAACCAACAGCTCTCTAGCAGATTAACACAGACTGAATATAATAAGCTTCATAAAGAAAAGATTTATTGCTGGGCTGTTGTATGGGATTGCATGACATTAAGCTAGATGGTTGCTATGACGAGTAAACTCCCAACCACATACAACAACCTCAAAAAAAAAAAACTCTCTACTCTCTTATCCCATGTGCCTTTCATTTTTAATCTGAACATTAAACCTTTGCCGCCTCCCGGAATTAACACTTTCACTTCTTTTTTCCCAGTAAATATACACTGACATGCTGTTTGTATTACAGCCTCTGTCATTCTCCTGCTTTAATAATGATTAAAAATCTCTTTTTTTCTCTTTTTTGTGTTTTCAGGGATTGATCAGGCACTTCAGGCCTGTGATGGAAAGCCGAATTGCTGAACACCAGCAGCAGCAGCAGCAGCAGGCCAGGGCTTGATTCGCTCCTCCAGCTCTTTGAACTCGTTCCTCCGCCTCATTTTCCTTTAACCCTGTGCCCTTGTCATTGACAAGTTATTTAAAGCGATAATGTGCCGTCTTATCACCTCATCGTCAAGTTTTACATTGATGTGTCTGCCTTGTCTGATGAAATCACCAATAAAATTCTATGAACCTTAAACTAAACTTCTGTATTGTCTTTGTAGTTTTTGATATTAGTCTTTTTTTTAAGTGTTTTACTTTAGGAAAATAATGAAAAAGAACACTGATAATATATATATTGTACAGCACTGTAAGAATTATGCTTCCCTGTTTCTGTTCAATGTTCAGGCATATAATAATGCATAGTAAGCAGTGAATAGCAGTAAAGACCTGCAATTTACCAAACTCTCGCGATATCTGAGTGGTCCGCAGCCTTTCCCATATCACGTGACTCGGGCGGAATATTCACTGCGGCTTCATTTCAGTGGACGATTCCTACGGTAAGAAATGGATGCCCCTTTTTGAATTGTTTACAAGACATAAGTCAAAAATTATCATGACTTCTCACATATATGCAGCTTTAAAATACATAGTTGCCACACAGAAGTAAGCAAAATGCCACACTACGTGAAATATTAAAACATATGAGCACCATCGCCTCGCATTCAGTTGTAGCGGCTCTTGCTGACCGATGCCCGCGCGCTGCCTCCATCCTCCGTTACTGTTATGTTAGCTCAGGCCCAACGTTAGCCTTTTCGTTTCGTCTTTAATTCATCGCTAGTGTCCATAGAGTGAATAAAAAACAGCCTCCTCTGTCATGTTTTTATTGTCAAAATGTAACTCTAACGTCCCCATGCCTCTTACGCAGGTTACGTTAACCGTACGCTAGCTCTACGTCTGCCACTGCAGTCATCAGCTGTAGTCGGTTTAGCTTTGCCCGCCACCATAACATTTATGATGCATGTTCAGTGTGTCTGCAGCAGTGTGCTCCTGTGTTGCAGCTCCATGCGGCTGAGTGGTGTCTGAAAGCATCAGTATGGACATGGTGAAGATAGAGCAAGTCATTGTTGGGAGTGAGAGGAGATCCAATGCAGCGGAGATCAAGACTGAGCCTGGGGTCGCCCCTCTGCAGCCCTGTAAGATAACATTTACATGCGTGGCTCACGCAGTGATGCTGTCAACCTATTTCTAACAGCCAAAGTGTCATTTTTACAAAAATCACAGTATAGTAAGTGGTTATATCTATCTATATCTGCTGTTGCGTTGTAACTGATCACCAGCTTCTCCTCTCATTGTGATGCAGATCAGCATGAGAGTCTGCAGTGTTTTCAGTGCTTCATCACCTTCTGTAACTCCAAAGCCAAGGAGAGACACATGAGGAAGAGTCATCGGGAACAATACAAACAGCAGCTGCAGCAGGTAGGGAAAAAGCAGACTGAACATTTAAAGGGTTCAAGTAGTGGTACAAACTCAGCAGTTCATGTGTAGCAAGGTTGATTTAAATTGCTCCAGTTATATATTATTTTCATTAATGATGAATCTGTAGATTGTTTAGTCCTCTTGGCATTTGGTCCATGAGAAAACAGTAAAATTCTGGTAACAGTCTCCCATAAAGCAGAATGATGTAGTCCAAAAATACATTTATTATTTGTTGTCAGAGAAAACAAAAGCTGATCAGCTAATCAGATAATAGTCAAATTGTTTAGGCTATAGTGATTGTTTTTCTTTGCAGCATTTTTCAAATTGCAGCAGGAGGAGTTAAAAGTGAAATGTGTGTCAAAATACCATTTTAAATTAAATATTGTGGTGCTGCAGAGATGTCATGGCCTACACAGACTTCAGAAAACATCTATATTGGTACAGATACCTGCAAAAATCAAAGCATAATCATTTAAATATGCTTTTTAATGTAAATGAAAATAATGATATGAAAATAATCATCCCTTCTTATATTGTAAATCATATTGCAATTGCGGTATCAGTCAATCCCAGTTAGTTATTTTTTCAATAGCATTTATCCCTGTTAGATAACATATCAGCAGATATTTGTCATTAACATACAACCAGTCTATAAGTATCCCTTCAGTTTGGTTATGAAAGAATTGTGACCAACATGTGTGTTGCAAGAGACATTTTACAGGTGAAAAACTTGTCAGTACTCTCAGCTGAAAAACTGTTTGAGGCCAACACTATTTCAAATGATCTCAAACAAATCTTGTGTCTTGCAGTTCTTATGTATCGGTGATATCAATACAGCTGTGATAAGCTAGTATTGGCTGGGCTGATGTGTCAGTCAGGCTCTGGTATGGATGCAACTTTTCTGATTAATTTATTGTTTTTGTACGTAATATAATTTTGGATGAAAGTGGAGATGTGATTTTGTTTGAAAATATCTGAGGAGGGAAAACACGTCCTTTGTAAGAAAGATTTTCTTCAATCGAAGAAATCTTTCATTCTTCTAGGATCGTTAAGATTTCATATTTTTAACCAGTTCTGCTCATTGTTTTTCAGACTGATACAGTCTTCACTTGTTATAAGTGTGACAAAAGTTTCTCCGCCTCTGACGAGCTCAGCCAGCACCAGGCCACCCACAGCAGAGAGGAGAAGCCCTTCCACTGTCTGTACTGCCGGAAAAACTTCTTTACCTTTACTGAGGTGAGGATGCAGTATGCTACATGCTAACCTGTTTTTGTGCTTAGGAACTGATAAAATATTTGTTGATGTCGATGATGAATGTTAAATGTCTTGCAGCTGAACAAACACAGACGACAAGAGTGCATAGAACGACGGTGTCCCTGCAGGGACTGTGGCGCCTTGTTCCCCAGTCCCTCACGCCTTCGCAACCATCGCATTGCAGTGCACCCCCAGCGTCCTGTAGTGGCTGACGACATCAACACCTTCCAATGCTGCAAATGTAGTCGTGGTTTCCCGACAGAAGAAGAGCTCTTGCAGCACCAGGAGAGATTTGCCAATGATATAAACTGTGACACTAAGCCCCAGGGCAAAAAACGTGGCCGTAAACCCAAGAACGCAGCTCAAGAAGAGATGGTTGAGATCAAAAAGATCAAACAAGAAGACGAAGCAGAGGGATACAATGACTCTACAACAGAGGGATGCCCCTCCAATGATCTGGAACAGGAGCTCAAGATTCCTTGTTCTGAAGCAAAGTGTGACCTCATATTCCCGTCTGTTGCAGCCCTGCGGGCACACAAGAGGGAGAAACATGGGCTTACCCCTCGCAAGCCTCACGTATGCACAGAGTGTGATGAGAGCTACGCTCGGCTCGAGCAGCTCACAGCACACATGGCCAAGGACCACAACTCTGGATACACCTGCCCCACCTGCGGAAAGTGCTTTGCACGAGAGAGCAACCTAAAGACCCACCAGAGCACCCACACTGAAGGAGAGGAGGCAGCAGAGAAAAGATAATATACGGGGAAAAGACTGTAACTTCATCCTATATCGTTCAGTTCAATGATTGTCAGAGTGTTTCCCACCATAACTCTGTTTAGTGTAGGTTGAAGATTTTTATGTGAACATTTCAGGGTGAGAGTTTTTGAAGCAAGGTTATGCAACACATAAATTATGGAGGTTGTATCTGGAATGACGTTTTTCAATTGCTTTTGGAAAGACATCCTACACCTGTGAATAAAACTCTGCACCGATCTGTACATAATTATGATTTATGTCCACTGTAAGCTCATGCCACATGGCCCTTGTTGCTGTCTATATTACCTCTATTGTACCTGGAATGTTTTTTTTATTTCGTAAGTACCTAAGTACCCTAAGTAGCTATTTCTCCCTCAAGTGTGGGAATGTTTTCTATTGAACTGTACTATTTTCAGGAAAACACGAGGCTGACAATTACATGGAGAATGTAAGTTCTAAAGATCATAAAATCCAATATGTCATAAATAGGCCAGTGTATAGGATTCTGTACCAATCATGTAATCCGCAGGTCTTATTTTGCTCTTTACAGAAGTAAACAATTGTTGCATTAAACAATACTTATGTTTCTGTGGAGTCTTTGGCTGTCATTGTGTGTGTCTGTGTGTGTGTGTGGGTGTGTGTGAGAGTTAAAATGTAAAGTACTAAGTAGGTGCAGCACAGTGTAGTGGGTAGAGTCCAGAGACAATTTTCAGACAATTTTTTTGTAAAATACAGACTTTACAAGTAAATGTTCCGACGCTTGTTTTTAAGATCATGTGCCATGTAACTTAAATCATCAAGTGTGATTTTGTACTCAAAATTTTGGGAAAATTTCTCACAAAAATTATGATTCTAAGTCAAAATGAGTACCATTACTACAGTTATGAAGCAGTGTAAGCTACATAAAGCATCATCCTGCTCCTGAGACACTGTCACTGCTACAGCTGAATATATTTAGGCTTCTAAGTACCATACCTATGATTAAGTTGGACTCACCATTAAGAACATGGTAATGATGAATAAAACTAACAGTTTAAGTTTTATGTTTTTTTTCTAATCTATTATTTTATTGTAAGAAGGGGCACAAACAAACAGTAATAGTGACCTGTCACTTCTCCCTGCAGCCACCCTGCATCTCTGATGTAATATATTTTTGGAAAATAATGTTTTTGTTCTCTTAAGAATGAAAGTACAGTAGATTCTGCAACATTTCTTTTTGGTTTATCAAATGTTACTCTAAATTGAAACTGACATTGGAATAGTGTGTGTATTATAATCTGCAGATAATTACTTAAATAACAATCAGGACTTAAAATTTAACCTAAGATTGACTTGCTGCTATAATGTAGCCTACAAAAAATGTCTAAAGCTCTGTTTATTTTGGCTTTGTTTAGCACAAAGAACTCAAGATCGAGCTTTTTGTTTCTTATTGACAAGTAATTTTTGTCCGTACTATCCACTGAGGTAAAGTAACTAAATACTGTACATTTACTCAAGTACTGTACTTAAAAACAATTTTGGCACACATGAGCTACCACTTTAATTGGGCATTTTTAATTTTATACAACTACACATTCTTCTTCATTACATTTCTGAGGGAAATATTGTGAGCTTTACTCCACTACATTTATTCTAGTTACAAATTACTTTGCAGTTTAAGATTTATATGTAAACGTAGCTGCATTGTTATAGATTTAAATTCCAAGCACATAAAGCAGTTAGAAAAAGGTATATTATATTAATATGACATCAGCAGGGGACATTCCGCTTAACTGTTCTTTTACTTTTGATAATTTAATTACATTTTGTTGCTAATATAGCTTTGCTTTTGCATGAAGGACTTGTAATGGGCTATTTTTTAATACAATAAAGTATTGCTACTTTTCCTTATGTAAAAAATCTAATAATCTTACACCACTGGTACTATCATAATTCAGCAATTCATACACAAGAATTCAGTGGTGGAATGTAACTAAGTACATTTACTCAAGTACTGTAGTTAAGTACAATTTTGAGGTACTTTTGATTTAGTTGAGTAGGGGTCAGTTGAGGTGGTTTGGGCATCTGATTAGGATGCTTCCTGGGTACCTCCCGATAGAGTTGCTCCTGGCTCGTCCCACTGCTGGGAGGCCCCAGGGCAGACCCAGAACACACTGGAGGGATTACATATCCTATCGGGCCTGGGAACGCCTTGGGTTCCCCCAGGAGGTGCTGGAGAGCATTGCTGGGGAGAGGGATGTTTGGGGTGCTTTGCTTGGCCTGCTGCCCCTGTGACCAAGCCCCGGATAAGTGGATGAAAATGGATGTATGGATGGATTTTATGATTCTTTACACTTCTACTCCACTGCATTTTGGAGAGAAATATTGTACTTTTTACTCCACTTCATATTATATTTGATATTGTAGCCTTGAATTAAATAGTTAAAATCAGCTCCACCTTTACCAGCTGCAACATTAAAGTGATGAACACATTAATGCATCAATATTATAAACCAGTAATATAATATGTGATTCTTAAATGGCCTATTCTGCATTTTACTTTTGGTGCTTAAAGTATATTTTGATGCCAGTACTTTTACACTTTTGCTTCAGTAACACTTTGAATGAGACATTTTAACAGAGTATTTTACACTGTAGTATTGCTATGTTTATCCAAGAAAATATTTAAATACTTCTTCTACCACTGCAAGAATTATAAAACCACTGATACATACAGAAAACTGGTGTCCACCTCGCCCAGTGTTTCGAACAGAGGTTGTCCTGGATCGGAGAAGTTCGTTTTCCCATGATGCACCTGTGGTTCCTTTCTATCTCGCGCCTTTGCCTCGCGCAGTCCATCTTGCCTCTCACATCGCTGCTGTCAGCTTCACGCGCTGTCCGTGTTGTTGTAGTAAATAATGGCGGCATCGGGAGGAGGATTATCATCTCCCGCGACCGTCGCGGGCTTGAGCACCCAAATGCCGGCCCGGGCTCGCTTCCCGGGCCGTCCGTGCACGGCTCGCAGCAGGCTGCGGTCGGAGAAACGCACCAAACGCGGAAGGTTGGGCTCGAGCGACCGGGACCTGGCAGCCGAAGGGCCGAGGCCCGTCAACATCGGCCTAGCGTTGAGCGAGGATCCGTCCCTGCTGCGCCTGCTGGGGGCGGCGGAGAAGCACAGGAGGCAGCGAGATGCGGGCTTCGACTCTAGCGGCAGTGATGAGGTGAATAATCTAACTGTAGCATGTCAGCTAGGTGGTGAACAATACGCTTTATGAGACACACGAGGACAGTTTGTTTCAAAGAACGACATTTACATGAATGTGTTTGTTACTTATGGAAAGTATTTAAGCTAACGCAGAGCTAGTTAGCGTTAGCTTGCAAACACAAATCTAAATAGGCACTGTAGCTAGCCGCCTGCCTGCAGGGTATGCTTTAAGATTGATGATGGTTGAATGTTTCGTCTGACTGCTTCTGCAGATGATAATAATAGTTTATTGTCTATTTTAAAAACGCTACATCAGTATTGTAGGTTGCAGCAGCCATACATACAGAACAGCGTCTGTCCGGCTAAGTTTGTTTGCATGAACATTAGGCGGAAACTTTGGCGGTGTGATAACAGTGGGGGACGCGTTTTGTTGTGGAAACCGGTGGATGTCTTTGTTTATCCATCTCCTGATTCATTTTGTTGAGTTGAACTTCCCACACTGTGCTGGCACACACAGGCTGCAAATCGTTGTGTAAACGTTGCTGCTGCTGTAGTGGGGATCACACTCTCCACGCTGGAGCTGTCAGCTGATTGCTCCCTGTGATGCAACTCGGAAGCAAACTAAAACGTTACTTTCACGTTATAATGAAAAAAAGCTGAATTTGGAATATACACTAAGAAATCTTGCTCTGTGCCTTTCTAAAAAGCTAAATTTGCTTAGTCTGTGTTAACAAACATTCATCACTTCCATCATGCATCCGTCCCTTTCATTACTGAGATTGATGTAAAAGGGAAGTTAACGAGGAGTCAAAGCTTTTTCCAACTTTATACTTGGATTAATTAGGTACATTATGTAAGAGCAGGGTTCTCTATAATAATCTACATGCTGCAATAAAGGGCACGATTATGTTGCATAGGCTCTGACACTAATGATGAGTTATTGCGTGTCTTTCCACCTACTGAAATCAAGCCGTCAGCAGTTAAGCACACACCTTCAAGTGGGTAGCCTGGTTGTAATGGAAATGCAAATCCCTGCCGCCCTTGGCTGACAACCCAAACCAAGCCAAGCCAAGCCAGCCCTTGACTGCCGAAAAGGGGTAGTAGTGATCTATGAGTATGAAAGGGGCACTAAGGGTGAAATCTTGTTTTTGATATACATTGTAAGAACTTTGCTAGACAAAGAGTTCCTGATGCTCTGTGAATAGCTTTGCATCCTACCTGAGCTGGAGTCAGTCGTAGTGAGGCACAAATATTATGTGACAATCAAAAAAAGAGGTGACTCAGTCACACCGTGCTCATATTTTCAGTGTTTTATTATAGAAGCCACCAGTGTGTTGGGCATCATTCATTCTTAGGTGGTCTCCTTGTAGTTCTAGCCAGACAGGATGGTGATGGGGATATAATGCCAAATTGGATCTAATCATATTATTTAATCTCCAGAGCAAGCGCTTTAGTGTGTGACATCAGCCGGACTTCACTGATACAATCCCTATCCCTATGTTGAAATATCACTCTTAGGGAAGAATTGGGTTAAAATGCACTGTTTTTTATTCCACTGCAGCTTCAGTGCTACACCTGATTTATTACAGAGAAGATATTGCCACATATTTCACTAACAATCAGACATGTGTGGAGAGATGGTGCACAGGCAGAGAATCTGCTGAGTTATTTCTTAAAGTTGACTCACAGATTGAAAGCAAAACCTGCTTCATTTGGTGCCTCAGCAGTGTACTGATGCAACTCTGAAGTAAGACTAGAGAACAGTGCAGATGCTGCTGAGCAATATTTTCAGCAGGGTAATACCTGATGATCAAACAACGAACTCAGAAGTGGGTGAGACGTTAATAAAGGGCGTTTCAGTCATAAATTACTGTGACCTCACCTCTTTCGATTTGAACACATTTTCTCCTACATGTTAACCTATTTGACAGAGTGTTAGAACGTGGTTTGATTTACCAGAAGTTCTGGCCACTCAGGAGGGGGGTCATTAATGTTGGACCTCCACTCGTCCGAAAAGACTCAAATATATTCTTCAGAAATGAATATAACATCGAGTGGCTCTCTGATTATCGGAAAGCTCACAGTCAAAACTATCGACAATTAGTAGAATTAGTAATTAGTCTGATTCTATAATAGTCAATACTGCATCCGCCACAACGCGCACACACACGATCGGCGAAGGGACCTAAAAATGCAAATCCTGTAAAACCATGTGCTGTTCAAAATTTGGTTAAGCAGCATTTTTAAAGTGATCATTTTGGGACATTTCACACATGTGAAACCAAGATTTTGTGCTTTAAAATGAAGGCATTTCATGAAATAGAATTTAAATTGATATGTTTTTGCTTATTTTCATAATAATTAACAGTACATCTCCACAGTTAACGTGTCTGTTAGTAAAGCAAATGATTGCAGTGCCATATTTGAGGCGGCACAGAACACAGAGCCGACATACAAAGTGAGCAGTCAGAAGATTAAAACGCGGAATCATTAAATAAAATTATTATGATTTTTATTTCATTTTAATATATTTATTATCCCCAGAACTGAATCTGAAAATAAAGAAAAAATACTGTTCATTAATCGCCTTTTTTGCGGGTCACACAGGGGTACCTGACCTGATGCAGGACTCTGTTATAGCGTAGACACATCTTTACAACTCCTGTAGTTTTCATGTTGTGCCTGCTATCGTTTGAGCAACAGCAGACTTCAGGTCAGTCTAAAAGATGATCTTATTAATGTTGCCTATGATTTTCTGTCTCCACCTTAAATATCCTGCAGTTTTCCCATTTGTGTATCATTGTGTGCCTGGGGGAAAAAAAGACATTTAAAATGAAGTGACTTAATGCGAAAGCACGAGTCAGCAAAAACTTATTGTGTAAAGTCATGTGAAGGTGTGAAAATCACGTCAAGGGCTGGTGATGCTTTGCTCATCTCATTTGGGCTCAGACAGTACGTTCTGCCTGCTGATTTGTGTTTCACTCCACTGATATGAGCACATCCATCATCAGGTGTGGGTCCAGTATGGGTCAACATGGAGGACTCCTGTCCCCTAAATGGCTGTCACTCTGGTTAATCAGTCCACATTCTAACACTCTGCCATATACAGTACGTAGGTTAATGTGTAGGAAAAACGCATTCAAATCAAGTGGTGAGGTCAGAAAGATTTATGAAGGAATGTCCCTAAAATCTTACTGAAAAGACAGAAAAATAATTGTGTCCTTTCAATGAAGAATTTCAGGGGGACTCCATCATAGATTTGCATTAATGACTGCACAAACATGCTATGTAGCAGGGATTCCCCTGCCAGACACACACACACAAACACACACACACACACACACACACACACACACACACACACACAGAAAGCACCTGCCGATTCCATTCGTTGTCGTTTTTTGAATTACAGCATTTGGGCCAACAAAACAGTAATCGTTTCATCATCGTCATTGCTGCTTTTACATCAGCTCTGTTATATGTGAATGCTGGATATTTAAGACACTTTATATGTTGATAATTATTTTACATTCACTTTTATGTCTATTTTAAAGCTCCAGTTTGTAGGATTTATGGGTATCTATTGGCAGAACTGTAATATTCGAAATGTTGTCATTAGTTTATAATCATCCTAAACTACGAGTAGTTTTTGTCACCTCAAAATGAGCTGTGTATATCTACGTACAGAGTGGGTCCTCTTCTACATAGTCCGCCTTGTTGATTCTATGGTAGCCCAGAATGGATGAACCAAACACTGGCTCTAGATAGGGCCATTTGCTTGCTCTCGTTTTCACTTTGACTATCATAGTTCTCCTGCACCCTTGGCACATGCAACAAGTCTCAGTCCTGCAACCTCACCACTAAATGGCACTAAATTCTACACACTAGGCCTTTAAGCTTTATTATGGAGATGATTTCTGTTTTTGGTCTACAGCAGGTGGTCTACATTTTACCTTTTTCTCATTTCAATATATCCAGATGTATTATATCCATTTAAAGGTCGTACTTTCTGTGTTTTTCTCCAGGAGGAAATTTTCACTGGATTTGGGACCACAACAGTTCGTCCACAAAAAGCTCCTCAGTCCTCGTCACTCAGCAAAACAACACCTCCCCAAGCTTCAGGGCACTCTGCGGGAACAAAGCCTCTCATCGGAAAGATTATACCCAAGACCCCAAAACCGTCCCTCATTGGAAAAATTGTACCGAGGGTCCCTAAAGAAGGCCAGGGTATCAAAGAGAACCAAGAAAAAGACAAAGAAATACCCAAGGTGGTAATTAAACTGCACAGCAAACAGGTAGCCGTCACTGCAGAAGACACACATGCAGGCGAGAAGGCCTCAGGTCGACAGAGCAGTACAGGATCAACTGACTTTATCAGGAAAGCAGGACAATCAGTAGCCTCAGGCGGGAAGCAAAACCAAACAGCCCTTACCTCAGCTGGTGGCAACAAGAAAGCTCACAAGGTGAAAGAACAAGGCGAGGTGTCAGAGGACTCAGACACAGACCAAACCCAGCCACAGAGACCAGTGAAACGCATCAGGGGTTTTCGATTTGGGCATTCTCAAGCGGTCGCTCCGTCGTTCACATCCTTTCACAAACGGCAGAGGAAAAAAATGGCTAAGGGTATGGGTGCCTCTCCTGAGGCTGGAGCTGAGGCTGGTGCCCAGAGTGGACAAGAGGCAGCGATGCCCCTTGAGTGTAAAGCCACAGTTTCCTCTGAAAAAAAAACTCATAGAAGAAAGTCTTTGTTTGGGCACAAACGAAAGCGACCAAAAAACAATCCAGATATTAAACGTCCAAAATTGAAAAGTACTCGCGCTCGGCGTGTTTTTTACACCTACGTAATGGAGCCAATTCCGGCTGCACTGATGCCGGACGGGAATGAGCAGCAGCTGCAAGGTCAAAATCCAGCTGAATGTGGGCCGAGCTCATTTCTTGAACACGCCCAACAGAGCTCAAACAACTCCTCCACTCCTTTAACGAGTGCACGGTCCTCCCGTGTTATTAAAACTCCAAAGAGGTTCTTGGATGAGGAAATGATTCCCTTTCCAAAGGGTCCTTTGTCAACATGGCGGAAAAGTCAACAGAGAGAGGAAGGAAAACAAAGTCCATCATGTCATGAGTCAGGCTACGACGGCAACGTGCTGCAGTCAGATGGTGATACTGTATCTGTGGCTGACAGCCCATCTGCAGCGACAAAGTTCTCATCAAAGGCCAAGCCAGGCACAAGCCACCTAGAGATCTACAAGAACCTCAAGAAGCTTACCTTGAAACTGGCAGAGAAGAAGAAAGGCCACTCTGACACTGAGGGGGATTATTCACATCATGACGATGGTTTCACTTCTCATGTGAAGAAGAGACGGCGGTCCAAGCTGATGATGGAGGAGATGGACTCCCCTGGTGTTGTGAGGAAACTAGCTGTGGTGGTGAACGCTGAAGCGCCCTCACATTTGCCGTTAGGAGATAAAGGCAACACTGGTAAGAATCCTTTCCTCTTTTTGAGTAATCATTTATGAAGATCCTCTCACTTGATTTTAGCTGTGTTTTCACAAATGTCTGTTGTTGTGTGGCCGGTATCTGTAGCTCCAACCTGTGCTTCTTGTACGAAATATTTTCTGAAATAATGAGATGGGTTTTTTTTTTTACTCTTGATGGGACTACACAATTGAGTTCAGGTTAAATTGAGAAATAAATGCTGATGTTTTAGCTTTATGAAACAGGTCAAATTATAAAAAGAGAGGAAAGATTTGTTAGAGAATTCAGCAAAGCTCTAGGCCTGATAACACCATGACAAAAGCTGGAATATTTTAGAGATTACAAATACATAATTTAGTTTATTGGTGTGTTTTCAACAGTTGTTCCTACACTTATGAGGCATTTGGTTGTATCTCATCTAACCAGAGTTGCTTTATTCATGCTGTTTGGTTCAGATGAAGCAGGAGACTTGACTGTGGACACTCATGAAGCGTTGGAAGTCAGTGGGCCCAGCCATCGAGTTGGTCTCAGTGGAGCTAATAAGACGATGCTTCACCTGCTGAAGAAAGCCAAAGTACAGCTCATTAAGATTGATCAACAGAAACAACTCAAGTTGTCACAGGTGAGAGTCAATAATCGAATTGATATGGAAGACATAAACAAGATTCCCTGGTCTTAAAAATTGTCAAAGTCGGAAAAGAAAGATTATTAAATCAACGTTCCTCAAGTTGGTTTAAAGATCATAGATAGTTCCAGAGCTCCTGTAATCTCTAAGGCTCAAATGATAAGTCAGTGACATTTGCTGCTGCTCTCTATTTCATGTAATTGTGAGTTAAATTTGTTTTTGGACTGTTTCTTGGACAAGAAGTCATTTAAAAGAATATTTCACCTGCAAAATTACCATTTGTATGTCAGTTACTCGCATGTTACATTGAATTTATGGAGAAATCTTTGTTTTTCTCACGTGCCTCCGTGATGAACGTAGAATCTAAAAATGGCGACCATTCTTCATGAGTTGCAGTAAAAGGGGGGGCCATGTTTAACAACAACAAAACCATATCAAATAATCTGTTTTCAAACCCTCACAAAACTCGTGCAGTATAATCCAAGTTCCATTTATCCTGTTGTACGCTCAGAACTTTGCAAACGTGCATTTTTGCTAAAAACGATACGATCTAAAACAGTGAATAGACATGAATAGTGCACCCTGAGCGTGCCTGAGCATATGAGCTCTGCATATGCAAAGTAGAGTTTTTGGCCACAGGCAGGGGCCAATGTGCTACTCTGTACTAACATGTTTTAAATCATAAGCTTTTAGCAAAAGTGCATGTTTTTGGGAAGTACTGAGCATATGACAGGATAACTGAGACGTGTTATACTGCAGTACTTGGGTGAGAGTTTGTAAACGGATGTTTCAGTACAAGTTTTGCTTTTATTAAATGTTGTCCCCTTTTACTTCAAATCATGACGAATGTTTGCCTTTTTTGGATTCTTTGTACACCGAAAACTAAAACACTAGAAAAACTAAATTTTCATCACAAATTCAAGGTAACACATGGTCAGTAACTGATAAAGAAATGGTCATTTTGCAAGTTAAGTTTTCTTTAAGGATGTCTCCCGAACTATGAGAAATAGTGTCAAATAATTCTTTGTTTACTAACCAATGTACCAGATACATGATGATAATTATACATGAAACATTTGTTTTGTCATCTTATTTTAGTCTTACAAGTCAGATTGCAAGGGACTGCACTGTATATTGAGGAAGGTATAGTAGCACAACGATGTTATAGCATCTCTTACATAAAACCTTGTGTTTCTCCCTCGTCTGGACCGACAGTTGGGCTCCAGAGAATCACGAGTGCCAGTGAGTGGAAGGAGACGGAGGAGGAGGAGAGTTGGCACATCTTCCAAAGACATTGGTCCTCAGGTAATACTTTTAACTTTAAAACGCATGTTTATATGTTGTCTTGGTTTGAATAAAGCTGCATCAGTCCACTGCGTTTGTTTTAATCACCTGTGGTTTGGTTTTTACTTTGACCATTTATAATGTGCTAGGAAGGATCTACTCTAAAACACTCAGGCTGCCTGTGTTTGTTCATACATTTGTGTGCAAGTGGTGTATATATCCTCTTACCAGGAAATATATGGAAAAAGTCCACCACTATAAATACATTTTACAACCATCAATAAAGAGAGATACAAGACAGTTTCAGCACCTCTGCAGTAGGGGGAAGTTATGCATGAAATATATCGATTTTGCTATCTGTTTTGCCATCATTAAAGAATTTACTTTCATTTGCATTTTAAAAAGGGTGATGTATCATACTGTTAGTGTAATCTGAGCCTAGATTTCACCGGGAGGTTTATTTACGTCACAAGTCATGTCAATATTTCTACATTTCACAGTGTATATGTGTGTGCGTTTGTATGCAGGAGCAGCCGCTGGGTGGTCCAAGAATCAAACATGTGTGTCGGGCAGCAGCAGTGGCTTTGGGGCAGCCCCGTGCCATGGTGCCAGATGATATACCCCGACTCAGCGCCCTGCCACTTCATGAGAGAGAGGGCATCACTTTTTCTCCCGCAGCAGAAGGTACAGTCCATCCACATGTGTTGCTTTTCATCAAAATGCAGAAAGGAACTTCTATTTGGTTTTACTATAGAAGGGTTAACACATTCAGTACATTTTACATTGCGCTGTCTGTGTGCACTGATTTTAATTGAGGATTAATAAGCAAGGAACTGAGGTTATGCAGTCATGGTTTCTAATGACATGAAGGAAATAAACTGATATACTGGATAGGGTTAGCATTAAAATCATTCTCTGTGGTTAAGACCTGGTTGAAATGTCCAGAACTGAACAACAAAGGAGGAGGACTTAATTGTTCAATGTAGTACAGGGCATCTGCAGGATTTGAAAAGTCTTTGAAAGCATTAGTTCAGTTTCCTCCCATGTAAAATTACAAATATTAAAACGACATTAGAATCAAAAGGTCTTGATTTTTATCTTCAAAAGTTACTTAGTTTTTGTTGCCTGCTGTAGGCAGTAATACTAGTTATTAAGTGGTTTTGTATCAGATGGCGAGCTGTTGTACACTAACAAATAGGAAGATTTTTGCGACATTGGATTTGCCAGGCAGGAGTCGCTTACAGTGGCGCATCAGTCAGCACCATCAGAGCTGTAGCTACAGTGGCTAGGAAGCTCATCAACTCATTATGTACAGTTGGTTTTAGCAAAGACTTAAAATTAGGGGTGTAACGGTACACAAAAATCTCGGTTTGGTACGTACCTCGGTACACAAGTCACGGTTCGTTTTTTTTTTCGGTACAGTAATAAATAAAATAGACAACTATTAAATATCTTTTACTTATTGGTAACCTTATTAAAACATACCACCACAGCAGTTAACTCTTTTTACACATTTTTTGAATGAAACAAATATATATAAAATCCTTCTTTTTCACATTGTTTGAATGAAAATAGAAATATAAAAGTGAAAAATAAAATCCTGCTGTTTTTTTAACACATTTTTTAAATGAAAAATATAAATATAAATTTCTGCTTTAACAGTTTTACTCAATTAAAATAAAATGTATAGTGCAGCTGGTCAGCTTTAAAGCCTGCTCAGATTCAGTTTTACTAGGAACTTACTTAGCTTTCCCACTTTGTTAAAGTGCAGTAAACAAAACATGCTTATATCTAAAGTGCAGCTTAAACAATTTTACTCAGCTCCAATGGCGTTGATTATTTCTTTAGCGCGATGGTCAGGGAACCGCTCTCTCTTTTTAAACGACGACGATATCGTAGTTTGCACCAGATTGCTTTTTCTAGTCGTGCCGGTTAACGTTCAAATTCGGGTGGTGTCTCTTTAGATGCGTTAGCATGTTAGACGTGTTTCCAAGTACATACCCGACCGCTGTTCTGCAGTGTCGGCACACTGCTTTTGTCTTGTCAACTTGTTTATTTCCATCTTCGTATTTTACCCTGAAACCAAAGTGTTCCCAAATGGAGGACTTAAGGTTTGTGGGTGGGTCTTCAGGTTCGTCAGGCTCACTTGCCATGTTGTCAAAATGCGAGAATGCGCTGCACAAAGTGAAAGCGGAGATTTACGGGACTCGGTCCGTCACTCAATTATGTCCGTCGGGGAACTAGATATTTTAAATGGTTCGGCTCGCAAAAACAGAATTAAAATAAAACAAAATAAAATTAAATAATATCCTGCGCCCAATAATTCGGCACAGGGTCGTGCCGAACCGAAAGTCGCTTACTGAACGGTTCGACACAAATACATGTACCGTTACGGCCCTACTTAAAATTAATTAAAAAAAAACATTGGTTAATCCTTTTTTATCATATCAATCCTGATCTAGGTGGCATTCATTTAATTGAAGGTATACTGTGTAGGATTTGTCTCTTATTGTTTGTATCACTAGCGAAAGTGAAAGACAACCCCAGATTTACTCTCGTTTGCTATATTTGTGTGTTTTTCAGTGCTGTGTTCGTGATTTTCATAGCTTCCTGTTGGATGTGAGCTGCTTACGGTCTGGCACCTGGTCACTACCTTTTTAATAAAGTCCTTACTGTACCTGCGCACAGTGCCCAGGAACATCCTTATCACAGCAAAATAATAAGAACAAAAGAAAATAAAGCAGAGGGCAGAGTCTTTGCAGATAAATGCACCGCCACACACTTCTAGTGAGTCATAAGTGATGATTGAGAGAGATTCCTGTTGTGTGAGTCTATACATTGTTTTGCAGGAAAATCCTGCATAGTATACCTTTTAATTTTATCATTAGAAATTAATATTATACACTGCTGTGAGATAATATAAAAGGGTTATGTATGTGTAAAGATTTCAAGGCTTCTATTGGTCCTCAGTCATTATTTTATTAAGTTTCATTTTATGTGGTATTAAAAAGGTCCTAAGCCCTCTAAACTTAGAGGTGCTGCACACATAAACCTGTTTTTTGATCTGTAAAGTAAATGATATGACTGTACTAGGGCTGTAATCAACCAAAGAAAATCTTGGCCATCTGAAAACCTACCTGCTCTTCAACCAATCAGTTGATCAATGGTGAAGAAATATCTGCTGCCTGCGAGAGTCCCATACCGGACACTAAAGAAGTTACCTTTGGGGTTGACAATGTCATATACAACATAATGTTACTAACGTTAAACATCTCTGTAAAGCTACATGCGAGAGAGAGAGAGACCTATTAATTTTAGCCCACAGGCTAATGTTAGCCATCCTACCACTCTAACAAGAGCTTCCGTGTGATTCTATTCCTTTAAGAACCTTTATAATTCAGCCTTGAACTGCAGTGTCTTCTGGAGACAAGTAAAATAAATCCACAGTGATAAATCTGACACTGAATGTCTTTGGTGATTATTTATCCATTTTCAGATTAAAATGTGAGTTGAAAAATGTTTAACTTTGAGTACAACGCTGTCACCAGCCGGCGAATCACAATGGAAAAGGGGCAGGACAAATACCACAAAGACTAACCATCACAGAGGACATATAAAACTGCTGAACAACAACTACAGTTTTTAACTGGGAAAAGTAACGTTTTGGTTGACGCACGGCCTTCTGAAATTAACAACAGCAATTGTCCAGCCAATGAGAATTTGGTCAGACAAGAGCATGTTGACCAGGAAGGTGACAGCTCTAGACTGTATTGTGATGAAACACATCAGTGCTGGTGTAAATATTGATATTTCTTACCAGATGTATATAAATTGGAATTTCATGGGTTGAAAATGCCTCAACATGCCATTTACTGTTGTACATCAGCCCTGCCCTTACCTTATCTGTATCATAGAATTGAAGTTAACGCCCTGTAATCATATCATGCTTGACATATCCACTCCCTCCCCACCCTAACTCTCAGCTTTTAGCTCACTCTTCTCTGGTCATATAGCACCAATTAAAAAATGTTTGCATCTTTCTGCTGCATAGACAGCCCAGTTTGGGAAAGACCAGCTTTCAGGCATGAAATACTTCGTAATAGTCCCACGGCATATTGCAAGGTGTGCATCATGAACTGTTGCTACGGTGTAGTTGGACTTACTACGACCGTGGAATAGTCAGGATTACGGCTTCATTCACAGGCTGATTGTAAAAAGTAGATCGACTTGTTTATAGCCATGCTTTCAGGTAGGTTAACTGTTTTTCAATCCAATTTCTCCAAAATACTTGATTAGCATTGTCCAAACTTCAATGCATTTCTGCCAGTTTTTGTTTGGCAAAGCTCCTCTGCTAATGTATTATAATGAAATCATTCACCAGCTAAAATATTCTTTCAAACTGGCATAATTAAGCTTCTGCAGTAATAAACACACAACCTAAAAAAAATTCTTTTTGTAAAAGAGCACAATTTTGGTAGCTTTTGGCAAATTTGCAGATCACAAAAATAAAAACTGCTTTGTTAGCTCAATGTAGTTGTAACTAAGATATTTGCCAGCAAAAATATCTTTTGTCACACACAGATTAGCCACCGCTGTTGGAAAGCTTTACCCAACACTGGTCAAGTGAGCATCACTCAGTATGAGGTGAGGAAGAGCCGTTTGACAAGTAGCCCTGAATTTTGTCTCCTAATGAACACATGTAGTTCTGTTGGGAAACACGGATCCTTACACAATGTCATTCCAGCTACATTAATCATTTAAAATTATGACAGTAAATTTTTGTTTCTGCCTGAAGTTGCTTTGTGCCAGCTGGCATTAAAATACAAAGAGTGGGGGATGCCTGAGGTTCCAAAGGAGTTAGTTTCAATCTATTTCTAGTATTTTAGGGTCAGGAAGGGGAGAGACTTCTGATGTGTTCGTCCAGTCACCTTTATTCTGGAGTGACTCTTAGATTTCCAACACTTCAGCCAGCCAGCAGTATCTTGTAACTGTAGAAAGACAAACAGACAAAAGACAATTAAATAAGTATACACCGATCAGCCAAAACATTAAAACCACTGACAGGTGAAGTGAATAACATTGATCATTTCCTTACAGTGCAATGTTCTGCTGGGAAACCTTTTGTCCTGGCATTCATTTGGATGCCCCTTAATGCACTCAACCCACCATAACATTGTTAGACCAAATACCCCCGCTCATTGCAACAGTACCCCTGATGACAGTAGCCCCCCAGCAAGGCAATACACCATGCCCAACTGCAGAAACTGCTCAGGAATGTACCAAGGAACATAACAAAGAGCTTTAGGCATCGATCTAGCTTTCTAATCGCCCAGATCCCAATCTGATCAAGCATGTGTGGGACAAGCCGGAATCCCAGAGGTCCTTTGTCCAGGCCTTGACAGGTCAGAGCCACTTCCAATCTACGGTGGGGCCTCTGCCCTGTCGAGGCCTGGACAAAGGACCTCTTAGGGTGTCCTGTGTTGTCTGGCACCAAGGTGTTGTTGATGGATACTTTGAGTCCTGTGGGTTGTGGGGTAAGGTACTGGCATGCCCAATGGATATTCAATCGGATTGGAATCTGGGGAATCTGAAGGCCAGGTTGACACTTTGAGCTCTTTGTCACATCCCCAGGGCCATTCCTGAGCTGTTTTTGTGGTGTGGCGTGGTGCATGGTCCTGCTGGGGGTTGTACTACCAACAGGGAGTGCCGTTGCCATGGGGGGTTTATTGGTCTGTAATGGTGTTTGGGTGGGTAGTGCGTACACATGAATGCTAGGACCTAAGGTTCCTCAAAAGAACATTGTATTGTAACAAAATGATAAATGTTATTCACTTCACCAGCCAGTGGTTTTAATGTTTTGGCTGATCGGTGTATAAGCACCTGCAGTCACAGCACTTAGACCTGTTATGCCTCCTGCAGACTGAATAGTAAGTTTTTGGCATCCGAAGATGTCGCCCCCACGTCACATGTACCTAATGATGTTTGAAATGTATGTTGTGACTCTTTAACACATCCTCCTCGTCTCTTGCTTGCAGATGTTGCAGATGATGATGATGACGATGACATCTCTGATCAGGGCAGGGCTCAGTGGGTTGTCTCTCAGGAACACATCCGGCGTAGGAGGAGGGGGAGGGGGAAGGGGCTCAAGTTCAGAAAAAGGAAAGAACTGAGTCAGTATATACCCGGGGGTGTCCGGTCCCGGCGCTGTGGACGCTGCAGAGGCTGTTTGATAGAGGAGGACTGTGCAAAGTGCGTCAACTGCCTCGATAAGCCCAAGTTCGGGGGGCCCAACACCAAACGGCAGTGTTGCATGTAAGTTAAACTATTCAGATCATTGCTTTTATGGATCCAGGCTGGTGAATAAACTAATTCTAATGTGCAAAATGTCTGTGTTTAATGGGCATGTCTAACACACTTCTCCTGAGCTTTTAATACAATTTTAGCAAATGATTTAGGGTTTGGCGATAAGGCCCGTAAATAATATTACGCTATTAACAGCTATGTCACAATACATGATGTGTATATACCTCAATATTCTGAAATCTCTTTTAAATTACTATAGACTAGAATACTTAACTATTAATATACTGTTACAATAACGTTTAATAATAAGCTACTTTTATAATAAAGTTAAAAAATGTACTCTTATAATAAAGGTAAATAAAGTACTGTTATGATAAAGTTAAACTATTGTTATAATTAAGTTAATGAAAATACTGTTATAATCAATTTAAGTTGAGCTCTGTGTTAAACCGAAGATCTGGCGCTTTTATCCTGAAGCACTCAGCTCGTCTCGGACTGGACGTGTTGATGTTTTTTTATGTGAAATTGGAGCTTTCGGTCAACTGTCTGCTGTAAGCTGTTAGCAAAAAGTTCAGCTGTCACAGTGGCGTCATTAAATGTGGGAGTTAATTCACTGTGAGCAAGAAACAAACTAACGGCTCTGCAGTATATATTTTAATATCTACAAGTGCAGACCATGGTGCTCCATGGTCGTAAAATGCTACTCAGTAGTCACAGTCTTGAGCAGTGCATAAACATAAACATATGCCTCACCTGCAGATACCAAAGTGCCTCTTCTGCTCACACTGTCACCCAGGAGAGCTTGGTGTGGATGGGTGGAGGAGTGCATGTGACATATTAATGACTTCTTTTTTTTTCCGGTGAGAAGGAGAGAACCGTAGGAACTGAAACGCCGAAGCGAGTCTTAATGACAGTGGTTTAAAAAGAATGATGTGACAATTTATACTTGATGTTTTTTGATTAATCATTTTTATCCATCCCATGTGGAACTAGCCATGATACATTAAGGACAATCGATCTGTTGCCAACCCCTAAAATGATTTACAGGCAAAATACGAGTATCTGTGAAGGTTTTCATTTCAACTTTGACATTTACTTTGGGCGAGTAAAGAAACGCCTCAATGCTGAACCATTTATTAACTTGGTATCGAACTATAATATCAATCACAGGTACATTGTGATTGCCTTATATTTAAACAATGTTTGGGGCATTGCCAGTACAAACAAGTAAAGGCCAGGTAGTGTTGTCTGATTTTAGAGACAAATGTTAAGCATTTTTGAAAGTTTGGTAATTTAGATGATTTTAGAGCTCAGAGTGCTTAATTGAATTCTGAAATGTTTTAATAAGTGATGCTTTAAATACTTTTTACCTTCTCAGTCAAGCATTTTTGTACATGAAACATGAAAATATATTTCTTTCTTTACAGTAAACATATGATTAAACAATATATTTAATGAAGGCAAGTCAACTCTTACAGTTTAACACATTTTAATGTCTACAGCTTTAGACACTTTACCTTGAATGCATAATAACATTTTACTGTTTCTTCTGCCCCCAGATATAAGAAGTGTGACAGGATTGAGAGAGCGAGGAATGCGCGCATCGTCAGGCCATTGAAACGTATGTGTCTAATAAGACGATGAACAACATACACAAATATTTTGTGAATTTACAGCATTAATCATGGGGCTCCTTTTTCTCAGTCCAGGCGAGGCGGCCGTCGGGCTCTGTGTCAGGCAGTGATGATGCAAACTGGGGGTTTGAAGATGCAGATGAGGGATCGTCTACAATGGTGCCTGGAGTCAGGAAGCAGTCTCTGCGTAACATTACGCCGCGCTCCTACAGCAGCCTGCTGAAGTCTGAATCTGAGGAAGAAGAGGAGGAGGAAGAAGAAAAGGGGGATAAATTGGAAGTTAAGCCAACTGCTGGCAATCAAGGTAACTAAAGCTTTGTCTTTGTGACTCAAACCTCTCGGTGTGTCTCCCCTGAAAAATCCAACAGAACAGAAAGACCGAAATAAGACGAAGTGCTGTGTTATGCAGACTGCAGTTGTCCGTGATATCTTTGTAAGTTTGTAGAGGGTAACACATTAATTGACATGCACCTTTCCAAACCTTTCTAACTATACACAGAGACCCTTACTGATCTTGATTGGACAGCTTACTATTTCCTCTGTCCTGTTTGTGTGATGTGGGCTGATGATGACCTGCAGCAGGTTAAAGAAAGGCAAATTAGGTCTCCCTCATATAGCAAAGCCATTTCCAATGCAAACATGCTCATGGCTCCAGCCTCAGCAAGCGCCCCATGTACAAAGGCCATGTCCTTTCCACAGCAGCTGTGGGTTCACTTCCAACCCTGTCCTTTTGTTGCACAGCGTCCCCTCTCTCCCACCTTATTGCTATAACCTATAATCCAATACAGGCAAAAATGCTTCCCAAAAAGATCTAAAAAAGAAAAGATGAAATGACATTTCACATCCAAATGGTCAAAGGTTAGCTTCACTGTGACAACATAATATTCTGCAAAAACACTTTTCTGGGTATTATTCCACGTCATATCTCAGGAATAGAAGGGGAGACATTTGGTTAGATACTGAATTAGTGACTCTAATCTTGGGTTCACTCTTCTGTGCTGCTAAAGGCAAGATGTGTGTATAGGAAAATATTTTATAAGCACAGTAATAATGAATCTATCACAACCCAAGGATGACTATTAATCACTCAACAAAAAAGTTTACTGTAATTTGAGGGAACAGTGTCTTTACACAACAAAGACAGAATTGCTTTTGAAACCCTACAGTAGAATCAAAATTGCTTCTTACTTCTATTTATCTTTTGTAGATCTCCCTTCTCAAGATGGCGCATCACTGCCAGATGACCCTCAAACTGAGGCAGTGAAGTCTCGACGACCGTTATCCAGAGGAGCTGGGAGCAGATCCAGAGCTTACAAAGTAAAAACATACAGCACATGTCCCCCCTTGCCTCTGGTGTTCCACCTGATCAAACCTGGGTCAAGCTGTATTTTATGGAATATGTTATTTGCTTCTATTGGTCTGTTTTACATTAATAATACAAACAAAAATCACTGTTAAAATCATTTATTTACTGAATAAATTTGCCAGTTTAAATTAAGTGATCAACGGACAGTCTAAATAATCAATATTTAGACAATAAACACAAATATGTCCAAGTTACACTTTGCCCAGGTCTGAATCTTACTTTTAGTTTTATCTATTTTGAATTTAATAATCTGTTTTGGAATGAGTGAGTCTAATATTTCAAATGCAGCCCTGCTAATCTCCTTGTTTCTGAGCTTAAATTTCTCCTTCACATTAAACACCTTGCATGTGCTTAACCTCATGTTTTTTAAATTATGGATGTGTTAAGCTGTGCTCAGGCTGCACGGTTAATCAGATATTTATCGCGGCCATGAATCCCACAATGAAATGATAATGATCGACTGCTATAATGATGTTTAAAATGCGTGCTCTGCTTGTAGAAAACTCTGCTGCACACGAAATAAAGCTCTTCCTTAACTAACAGCCAGCCTCCACTTTTGAAGAGCTGTCATGCCATTGCCCGTGCACCCTGCAGAGAGAGCCTGTCATAAGCTTTGCCAAATGCTGTGCCTGCAGACAGGCAAAACAAAAATTATCCGTTCATCAACCTTTATCATCCGTTGTTTGAGTGCATGAGACGTGTTTATCTTGTTAAACCACCTGAAAAAAACACCACAATCTGCAGCATGATGGATGTATAAAGGCCAGCAAGATAAACGCCGCTAACATAACCACACTGAATCCCTGTCCTTGTTCAGCATCTACTCAGACTTAACAGTGCAGCACAGCAGGTCACGGTATTGTAGGTATCTATCCATCCAGCTCTAAAAGACAGACTTAAATAACCAACGCAATCACATTTCATTTGGCCAAAAATATACGTCCAATCAACCGTGTCATCATTTGGTTGCATTCTGTACTGGAATTTTGAATTTAGTTAGCTGATATTGTGGTTACAGATTTGTTAATTAGCGGCAATGTCACACAACATAAGTAAATGAAAAGCAGTGCTCTAAATTTCATTTTAAGAGAAGTCCAATAATGCAGCACCATATTTTAAAAACGACAATAGTTTAAGCTTGTTGGTAATAAGTTTATTTATAATAATGTTGGTCATCAGTATAACTTGTCAGTAAAATCCAACATTGTTTTCTTACATCACTAATTTTAATGTTAAAAGGGCTGTCATACCTGATCATAATTTGAGCTAAGATTAAGCATAAATCTTGGCTGTGCTGCCTGACTCTTTGCTTCTGCTTGTGCTAGCTGGCAGATACAATTGACTTCCTCAAATCATGCGGCGAACTACTGAATTACGAACACTTTGCTCGTTCTCTGTCGAGGCTCACATGATTTGCACATGATTTGCGCTTTTTAAATCTGCACTGCTTGAATCCTCTGCCATTCCTCATAAGAAATTCCCCTGTATTTATGTATAGGCACTGCTTCCAAGTGTTGGATTTATCTCCATCTGTGTTTATTGGCCGCAATTTGCAAATGCTGGTTTTGTCAAGTTACGACATACACATGCATTCACGCCCAAAATTTCTTTTAAATTGCACAGTTTACAGTGGGAGTGTGCTCATCATTAATGATTGACTCCATCTTCCTCCACCTTCAGAATCGCACCAGCAACAAAGGAAGCCACCATACTTTGAATATGAGAATAAAGACAAAGCAAGTACACAAAATTAACAACATGTGGTCTGTATAAGTGCTGTTGTAAACAACGTGACAAGCAGCTTTTCCTGGTTTCACCTAATTTTTGTTAGCTGTAGTTTTGTCTATAATATGGATGGGAAATTGTGCACAGGCTTTTTATTTTACGAATTTAACTGCATTAATTAATAAAGCACCTTAGGGTCTCCTGCTTGCAGGAATATGAGACAAATGAAGACGGAGTGTTGTGCATGTTAGTGTCATGTCTCCAGCAGTGGAGAGCAGCCTCTCTGCTGCGCCGTTAGTTTTGGGGAAAGCCAAGACGTAGTGCAAGTGACACAGTCCTCTGGCTGTGGACTGAGGTAACATTACACATACCGGCAACTCTGGTAAATTATCATGATAAAAATGAGAAATATTAACACTTTAAAATGTTTAAAACTTTAAAACATTTTGCTGTTGTAGCTGACGGGAAACCTGCAGGCGGGTTTTCAGCGCTGCCGTTTCATTTGCACTCACTATAGTGTGACCACCATGCACGCCAGTCCACTTGTGCTAACCTCAACACATGTTGCTAACGGAATACAGCTAAAAGTTTTCGGGTGGAACTTGCACTTGTAAACTTTGGTTCTCTATTACGTGCATACGTCTGCATAATGTGTTTTCTGCGTACAGCTGCTTCAACACAAATATATGAACCGTTACAGCCCCACTAAACATGGTTATTAGTGTGTGTTAGTGTTGTATAGTACTAGTAATTCAATTTCTAAAGAAGCGTTTGTTTTTGTGATTAGTTGGCTGTTTTTGAACTTGGTACATGCATACTTTACTAATGTGTACATATACCCTTAGCCACACCTTTGTGTGTGTTTGCACTGCTACTGAATGCATTTGATAACTCTTCTTTGTCTTTTCTTACTACTTAATTCCTGGCTAACATTCTCAGAGTCATAGCACTCCTCTCTTTTCCTGTTACTTTGGCTGCTGCCGGTCGCCGCCTCTGCATGTCACTAGTATACGTGTCACTTTGGAACCTGTCGTGCTGGTTGGCTTAGGCAGTCCCCTCCTCCACAGGAACAGGAGAACACCGCAGAGACGGAGCCCCAAGAAAGTTTACCAGAAACCAGCCCATCCCGAAGCCCAATGCCGAAGCAGCAGCAGCTACAAATACACTTACACCGTCTGCCTGATTCTCTCCTGCAGTCTGCTTTGTTTTTGCCAAAGCAGTGTCTGGATCAGTCTATTGCAGAGTCACATCCAATATTGTCCCAGCTTGTAACACAGCCTGCTCATTCACATTTATCATATGCCACACCACAGTCTCCTCCAGAGCTGTCCCAGCTTGTAATGCATCCCGCTTCCCCACCTTCACCACATCCCATATCAGACTCTAAACCAAAAACTATGATGTTATGTTTGCACCGTTTGCCCCAGACTGTGGTGCAGTCAGCCTTGCATTTGCACAAACCTGTATCATCATCATCATTTCAACAGCAGTCCCAGTCCACACTGCACTCAGCTCTGTCAGAGGTTTCGTCAAAGTTGTGTTTTCAGGCACATCCAGAGTCTGAGGTGCAGAACCCAGAAGTTTTGACAGAGACTCAGAGAGATAACAAAGATAAAACTGTGCCAGTGCTCCCTCAGACTGTCAATCCACGCACAGAGTTACAGGAGGACACGCAAGAGGAGCAGAAGGACAGACAAGGGGACCAGCCTGAAGAGAAGGAGGAGGACGCTTCTGTAGAAGGGACGGTGCAGCAAAACTGTCCAACAACTGACACACACTATGTCCTTCGTTCCCAGAGTCCTGCAGAGTGTGCATCAGTGAACACCCTCACTGGGTTAAGTAATGGATTTCCCCAAAAGGGCGTGTTGCAGGACAAGTACAAGATTCGTGTGGACTTCAAGGTGAGTTTATGCTCTTGTGTCGGGTGGCATGTACATGTTTCATATAAATCCTGCTTTTAGAAATAAACAAGACTTGAGCAAATTGTATGTTTATTGTTGTGACACGTGAATGACCTTATGCATCCTCGCTGATAACTTTTCTTTTGCTTTCTTTTTCTTGCTTTGTGTCCACCAGGAGGACTGCGCTGTCCAGAACGTATGGCTAATGGGCGGCCTCAGCGTCCTCTCGTCTGTCCCTACCACACCACAACCTGTCTGTCTCCTCTGTGCAAGTAAAGGACGATATGAGGTAATGCTTCATCAGAGCCTGAGTAGTGTTACTGATAACAACAAGGTTTGAAGACATATAGCTCTTCTTTACGTTACGCTTCATATCTCCAAGCCCTTCTCTGCAACATTTTGTATTTCAGTGCTCTGCAGTGCCAATAATAACACCTGTGTTTCCCACCTCCATCAGATGATATTCTGCCAGATCTGCTGTGAGCCTTTCCACAGTTTCTGTCTGTCGTCAGAGGAGCGCCCTCAGAAGGACAACAAGGAGAACTGGTGTTGCAGGCGCTGCAAATTCTGCCACGTTTGTGGCCGTCGTAGCAAGAACACAAAGGTATGAAACCCAGCATCACTTAACCATTTTTTAAAAACACTTGTCAGATGCCCTTATGTTCATTGAAACATGATTTCATTGCTATGATTATTCCTCCTGTTCATACTGGACAAATAAATACCCTTTGATACTTACAAGGATCATATTGTCTTGTAAGATCATTCGTTTATTTACCTGTTTGTGAATTTGAAAGGGTGATGACATGCTGATGCAGTGCTTGCCAGATATTTATTTGATTAATTAAAATCATAAATAATGTACCCTTCTGTGTTTTTTCTCTCCAGCCGGTGTTGCAGTGCAGGAGATGCCAAACCTCATACCACCCTTCCTGCCTGGGACCAACCTACCCTAAGCCTCTGAACTGCAACATGCCCTGGGTAATTTCTTTGAAACAGGAGTGTCCTTGTCATGTTTTGAGGATATTAAAATACCATCCAGTGTTGAAAATGCTTATTTTGGGGGCTACAAACAATCTACCTAAAGTGATATATATTACACAAAATTGTAAAATTGCCAGAGAACCCATCACAGTGTACATCATGGACAATTTATGTGCTTTGTTTACAGTGTGAACCCTCTTAGGGCCTCATGCTTGCTGTTTTGTGACATCATTGTGTATGTGTAGGTGTGCATGACATGCATTCGGTGTAAAAGCTGTGGCGTGACTCCGGGAAAGACTTGGGATTTGGCCTGGAACCATGAGAAGGACCTCTGTCCTGACTGCACTGCTCTCCACAAAAAAGGTAACACTCAGTCCAAACAGCATTTTCTGAAGGCTTTGTCGCCATTTTGTGAATGCTCAATAAATACATTGTATGATGTCTGGAAACCTCACAGACTTATTCAACACAACAGGTCTAATGTTGCCTAGAAGGATGACCTGGACTTGTATGCACAGTATGTGCTTAAAGTTAAATGTGAGGCTCTAGAAATGGACGATGTAACTGAAATTTGATCTTAATCTACATTAGGTAATTTCTGCACCGTCTGCCACAAGTGCTACGACGACAACAATCCACACACACAGATGATTCGGTGTTCAAAGTGCAGCCACTGGATTCATTACACATGTGAAGGACTTTCGGGTGAGTAACATTGTTTATTATCTCCGCCAGCTGTAAGCATGGAGGGGAGCATGCTTTAAATTAATAAATGATGATACTTAGACTATTTATACACGTGGAACATGCGCACATAGTATTGTGTAGTATATAACAATATTGCAGATCTAATCTTAATCTCCATTATATCCTCTAATATGTATCTGTCTGTTACAGATGAGCTGTGTGGGTTGCTGTCAAGCCAAACAGAAAAATTGTCTTTCACCTGCTCACCCTGCAACGAGCAGCAAACTGAACACAGCAGCTTGAGGGCGGAGCTGCAGAGCAGGCTGATAGTCGGGCTGAAGGAGGTGCTCATTGACCTCCTCTCCAATGATGCTACACAGCACCTCCTTACCTGTAAAGCGGTAAGAGGACTTTGACAAATGTCCTAATGCAGCATATTTGACTAACGGCAGTAAAACAATAAAAATAAAAAATGTTGTTTTTGTGTTTCAGTGTCAGCAAACAAACAACACACAGTTCGTCAGGGAACAGCAACCAGTATGTGATCTACAAGCCATGGAGAGGAAGTTTAAAGGCTGCGGATACACCTCGATAGTGAGTATAATCCCTCCTGATAATCTGGAAACCAGCACATCTCTATCTGTTTTAAACTCTGTGCTTGTAAGTCAGTAATAGTGTTGTAATTCACAACTAACTTTTAGCACATTCAGCTGAGAGAAATCAATAGATAGGGTACTGAAATCAGTTCTGCTGTTTTTTTTTTTTTTTGTGACACCAGCTCTTGTGAGATGCTCGTGATTGAAACCCTGACCTACTTTTTCTCTTCTCGTTCCCTCAGAAAGCTTTCCATGCAGATGTCATCCGTGTGATGAGGAAGTGGTTGAAGCAGGAGGAAGATGAGCTTCTCCCTGAGGATCAGAGACCAACCAGTCAGGCCAGGGCATACTATGTCAAAGTAAGCTCGCCTGCCAGATCTCCTACAGGTTACTTACCAAAAAAATCGAGTATAAAAAGACTGTTTGAGTCAATTTTTAACTTTGATCTCACTCAAATTTTGTTTTTCTTTTAGGTGATCGAGGAGGTTTTCAGCTGGTTTCCTACAAGCCATCTAAAAGAGTGGAACTCGTTCTTTGAGGAATTACCAAGGTAATAACCAAGTACATTAAACTTAATTATTCACTCAATATATAATATATTCGTTATTCAAATTCATAGCCAAAGCCAGTGTGAAATGAAAACTAAAAAATATACGCAGTCGGTAAAGATCTACTAGAATAAAGAAATGTGTAAACAGAGCAACATTGTAATTAAATATATGAAAGAAAATAGGTAAGTTTGACTTAGAAACATTAACTTAATGATAAAAACATTTCACTTAAAAATATAAATACAAAGAAATTTAAAACTGCATAAACTTTTTTATTGAAATTTATTTATTTGAGCTTGATGACATAGTTGAATCTTTAGGTGATTGCTTAATCCAACAACTTATAGAGAATAAAAGTGTCGCTCCCCTCTGTTCTCCTCCTCTCTGTAGTGGCATGCTCCCTGAAGCGGTCCTTCCACCATCTAAGGAGCACAGCTATGCACAGTGGCTGGAGAGGACATACCAGCCCAGAGAGCACAGGGGCCCACAGGCAGGGAAACCTGACCCTGTGCTGAACTCAGTCACTACACAGCAGTCCAGCGTATCGCACAGCCACCCTCTGTGTTCACAAGGTATGGAAACAACTGTAGCCTGTTCTGTGTCATGTATGCTGAGGAATGTGATCTTCATCTGAACGTTTGGACATGCAACTACTGTTTTGTAGTTCATAGAGGAATAATTTGTAGAAGGGAAGGATCAAATCTTTACCGAGTTCACATTTGCAAATGTAGAAAAAGTCCTGTTTTGTACCAATGGCCAGTAGTCAATATATTAAAATCCGTAAGTGAGGCAAAACAAGCATTTAATTGAATGCCTGTTGAGCAAAGAGAGCATTAATTTGGAGAAGTTTCACATTTTAACCGCCCTGCCCCTACTTTTTCCATGTATTTTGTAAGCCCGTACATACCTGTCAATAAGGACTAATGTATGGCATTAAGTAGAATACATAATAAACAAAAAAATAAGGTTATTACTAGCTTAATATAAATAAATATCCTTTATACCAGGAATGGTTAAGGGTCTCTAAACACTGGTGTTCAGTGTTTCCCCTATAATTTAACAGAACCCCCACCAGGCCAAAAAAATCATTTTTTATGCCTAAAATAACGCCAAATATCAATAGCAGTGTTTCTCCTATGTTCATGAACTGCAGCAGCACACTGTTGTGAGTCTATGAACAAGGCAATGGGGTATGATTAGTTCACGTCTATTACAACAGCAGAGGAGTTGAATGTCTCCAATGTAAACTGCAGCTAAAGTCAGCTGAACAAGTGAAGGCAACATCTGTAGACTGGCAGTTACAAACAGGCTCGGGAGCGAACGACATGCTGATGGATTCTGTGTTTTTAGCTGAGCTACATCAGAGAATATTCAGATAAAACAGAAAAGAGATGCTGTTTTCTCTCATTGTTATACGAAGTTACAGGAGTAACAAGCGAACCAGCTGCAAAAGATATGACATAAAACAAGTGCTGCGCTGTGGATCTAATTAATTGTGATGTGAAGAGTAGCTCATGTGGATTGTGGACTGATAAATATTTGAAAAAGAAACTGATAAATATTTAAAGAAATTTTAAAGTGTTAAATTTCAGAAAGAAATTTGGTGTGACAGGTGGTAGAAGGCGTGTTTAAGAGGACACACCTCCCCCGGACCATCTGCCAGGCCATAGCGCTGAACCTAGAGGAAACACTGCTGTTGTGTTATAAAAATAAATCAATCTAAAAATACCATTTGCCTCTTTACTTTTTTGCATTTGTTGGAGTAATAACATCAGTTGTCATATCAAACAGATAAGTATTCATTATCACAGCCCTGAAATGCCGCATCGGTGCATTTCTACTTATTTTTGCTTGCTCAGGTTTAAAATATATGTTTATATTCGCCTCTTTCTTCTTCACAGGTGTAAAGAGTGATCATGAAACTACCAGAACTGAAGATATGAGGCAGTGTGCCCTGTGCCAGCATTATGGAGACTGTGCTCCGAGGGTGAGTTTTGCTGTCCTACAATGTTTCTACTGCAACAAATAAATATTTTTATCATTGATGAAACTGCAGATTATTCTCTGGATTAATCTACCACACATTTTATATATAACAAAAAAGGCCTATCTTTATTCCCTACAGCTCAAGGTGAATTCATTTCTGACCAACAGTCCAAAACCCAAATATATTTATCAGTTTTATTACAATATGAGATGAGGAAGAGCAGCCAGTGTTTTTTTTGTTAAGTTCCTTAATAATGGTTAATCAGGTATCAGAGTGGTAGCAGATTAAAGATAATTGTATTGTCCTCCTGACAGGATGCAGGACGACTGTTGTACCTGGGACAGAACGAGTGGGCCCACGTTAACTGCTGCCTTTGGTCTGCTGAGGTGTACGAGGAGAAGAGCGCTCTTCTGCAAGTGCACAGTGCCGTCTCAAGAGGGCGCCACCTGGTAAGATATTAGCAGGAAATAAATATTTTTAGTTGTGAGATTTTTATTAGTCACACTAGCTTTAAGAGATGTAGGATAGGCAAAAATTGCATAACTCTGTGATAGACCCGTGTAAAAAAAAAAAAAAAAAAAGATCTAAAATTAATTAACATTTATTCATTTTTAAGAATCATAAAAAAATTCCCCTTCTTCTTCTTCTAATCGTCTATGTTTAATGTCATCCCGCCACACAGTCAGTATAAAGATAAACATGATTCTCCTTTACTCTGCAGCGTTGTGATCGTTGTGGCCAGTCCGGAGCCACTGTGGGCTGCTGTCTCTCCACCTGCCAGAGTAATTTCCACTTCATGTGTGCCCGTGCTCAGAATTGTGTGTTTCAGCTGGACAGGAAGATGTACTGCTTCAAACACAGGGATCTTGTCAGTGCAAAGGTACACACACAATCTTGCCTCAAGCTTACAGTCGCCAATGCACAACTCAACAATTGCTGATTTATTTCTACATTATATTGATTTATGGTTTACCGTACTCTTCCAGGTGGTGTCTGGGAAAGGGTTTGAAGTGACTCGGCGAGTGTATGTGGACTTTGAGGGGATCAATCTCAAGAGAAAGTTCCTCACAGGCCTAGAGCCAGAATCCATAAACATGACCATAGGTAAGAAAAAAAAATATTACAACTTTTATTTTTATAGTGCTTTTCTAAACCAGAGTTACAAAATTCTTCACAGTTCAATGTCATACAATATGAGAAAACAAAGAAGTAAGAGAACACCCATTTACAGAATATACATACATACATACATACATACATATACATATACACACACAAGATAGCAGTTCCAATCAGACTGACACAGTTCCTGAGTCTGCTGAGTAAAATTGTGTGATCAACTGCAGCCGTCAAGTCCAGCAAAATGAGAACAGTGTGAGTCTGCATTCATCAAAATATCATTGGTTACCCTAAGTAGGGCAGTGTCTGTACTGTGGTTCTTTCTAAAGCCAGATGGGCATTTGTCAAATATGTTGTTTTCTTCCCAGCAATTTCTGAAATCAGTGGTAATTTTGATATGGGACAGTAATTACTGGGCAGTGTGGGATCTAAGCCAAGTTTCTTAAGGAGAGGCTGGATACAGGCCTGTTTAAAATAGTCCAGGAGCAGGCCAGACAAAAAAGATTCATCAACAATTTTAATAAGCCATGGGGCAATGACTCCAAAAACCTCTTTGTGGCACAAACAGTAACTGGGGCAGGGTTCACAAGATTGTTGAAGGTGTTAAAAAGAGATCTTGCGTTAAGCTTTTTCAAGGCAACTAGATTGTAATCCATCCAGGGCCTTGGCTTGGAGGTACGGCATGACCAAGCTTCAAAGGGCTATTTGGTTCTCTAATATCTGTCTGTTGTTGGTGTGAGCCTCTTACATCCTGTACAGGGTGTGTGTCTCCATAAAGGAATGTAATATAATACTGTAATATATCAGACGGATATCCTGAAGTGTGCGTATCACCTTTCCTTTCTCATTTTTCCAGGCTCTCTGCAGATTCAGAAACTTGGTGTGTTGACAGAGCTGTCGTCAAGTGGGAGAATGCTGTTTCCTGTCGGCTATCAGTAAGTGCTCATTGTCATTATACAATTGGTGGTAGAGTTGGGTACCAAACGCAGAACTTTGAAGGGTAACAACCGAGTTACACCTGTACTGTCAAGTACCAATTCAAGGTAAAATGCAGCTTGGCCAAGTTTCGGTACCTGATTGGGTTGTCTAAACCACAAAGGTCACTTACTTGACACTTAATTACCGTTAGGTTACTATCTCACTCTAAACAATGTTTCGCCCTCATAATCCTTTTGGCTTTGATAAAGTCTGAGAGAAGAGAGAGGACAAATGATAAAGAAAACTTTTGTTGCATACCGCTTTTTTAAAATGTTTACACTTGAAGACAAGATTTACACAATAGAATCAAATAAGCAGCAATAAAGGAGAAAACATAGCATCAGAAACAATACAATCAAAGAACAAGAAACACTTAAGGTCATAAAATAATAGTGAAATTCTAAAATATATAGTTAAATGTAGTAAGGCAGTAAAGTCGTAGAGTTTTATTGGGCATCAGCCTCACTTTCATGCTTGTATAGTCGAGAAAAAAACGACTTAAAGTGTAAAGAAACACTTCAGGTCGCAGTTAGACCTGTGAGAAGCAGCTGAGTCACAAGCTTGCATGGAGCCGTTGAAGACAGCTGCATAGATCAATATGAGAATGTATATGTTGCATGATGTGCGAGTCTAAAACGGGTCTGACATGCTGCAGTCTCGACACGAGAGAAAGTGAGACGACATCACCCCTGCAGCTTGTTCAAGTCACAGTGATTGTTGTTAACAGTGACAGGCTGTGACAGGCTGGAGGTTGTAGGGACAGGTTTGGGAGAGAAGAGGGAGGTCGGGAGGGGTTTTATTTTCTGTGGGGTCTAAAACTGAAAAACTGAAATCACATGTTTGTTATCACTGCGAGAGGAAAGTACCATAAAAAGCTACACTGAATTTGCAGTAGGGTCGGCACCGGTTCAAATGTGAATAGTACCTGACTCTAGCTGATAGACTTACTGATCTGAGTCACTCACTTGGTGACTGGGGAACTTTTGTACTGACTGTAGCATCGTCAATGTTCTCGAAATGACTCTTTTTTCCTTTCTTCTCCAGATGTTCTCGGTTGTACTGGAGCACTGTGGACCCCCGCAGACGCTGCAAGTACACCTGTAAGGTGACAGAAGCTAGCACGCCTCTCCCTGGTGAGGAACAAGATCTGAGATGGGACCAAGAAGAAAATCACACCATAGTCCACAGCCCAAACCAACACAGAGGTCAGCAGGAACTTTTAATTTTTTGACTGACTGTTGTTCTCTTTAGATGTACTCAACAGCCAAACAAATACAACCCTCCTCTCGCTCGAACACCAGATGTTTTTTGGTACACACAGATGTACATCTAGCGAACTGTGAGAAGATATTCACTGAATTAGACAACAAGTGTATTGGGTTAGAGTCGCCAACTGCACCTTTAGTATTTTCAGTCACATACAGTCAGGTCCATAATTATTTGGACAATGATACAGTTGTTGTCATTTTGGCTCTGTACACCACCACAATGGGTTTTAAATGAAACAATGAATACCTGCTTAAAGTGCAGACTCTCAGCTTTCATTTAAGGCTTTTTTCAAAAATGTAGTATGAACCGTGTAGGAATTACAACCATTTCTTCACACAGTCCCCCGACTTTAAGGGCTCATAAGTATTTGGACAAACTAACATAATCATCAATTAAACAGTCAGTTTTAATACTTGGTTGCAAATCCTTTACAGTCAATGACTGCCTGAAGTGTTGGACACATAGGCATCATCAGATGCTGGGTTTCTTCCCTGGTGATGCTCTGCCAGCCCTTTACTGCAGCCGTCTGCACTTCCTGCTTGTGTTTTGGATGTTTTGCCCTCAGTTTTGGCTTCAGCAAGAGAAACGCATGCTCAATTGGATTCAGGTCAGATGATATGACTTGGCCATTGCAGAACATTCCACTTCTTTGCCTTAAAAATGTCTTTGGTTGCTTTTGCAGTATGCTTCAGGTCAATGTCCAACTGCACTGTGAAGCATCGTCCAATGAGTTTTGAAGCATTTGGTTGAATCTGAGCAGATAATGGTGCCCCAAACACTTCAGCTTCAAGGCCAGATTAGAGTTTGTCAAAAACCTTCAAAAAAGCCTGTACAGTTGTGGAACAGCATACTATGGACAGATAAAACAAAGATCAACTACCAGAATGATGGGAAGACAAGAGAAGGAAGAAGGGAAGGAACTGCTCATGATCCAACGCACACCACCTCATCAGTGAAGCATGGTGGAGGTACTGTTATGTCATGGCCATGTATGGCTGCCAGTGGAACTGGTTCTCTTGTATTTATTGATGATGTGACTGCTGACAAGAGCAGCAGGATGAAAGCTGAAGTGTTTGGGGCACCATTATCTGCTCAGATTCAACCAAATGCTTCAAAACTCATTGGACGATTCTTCACAGTGCAGTTGGACAATGACCTGAAGCATACTGCAAAAGCAACCAAAGACATTTTTAAGGCAAAGAAGTGGAATGTTCTGCAATGGCCAAGTCATATCATCTGACCTGAATCCAATTGAGCATGCGTTTCTCTTGCTGAAGCCAAAACTGAGGGCAAAACATCCAAAACACAAGCAGAAAGTGCAGACGGCTACAGTAAAGGGCTGGCAGAGCATCACCAGGGAAGAAACCCAGCATCTGATGATGCCTATGTGTCCAACACTTCAGGCAGTCATTGACTGTAAAGGATTTGCAACCAAGTATTAAAACTGACTGTTTAATTGATGATTATGTTAGTTTGTCCAAATACTTATGAGCCCTTAAAGTTGGGGGACTGTGTGAAGAAATGGTTGTCATTCCTACATGGTTCATACTACATTTTTGAAAAAAGCCTTAAATGAAAGCTGAGAGTCTGCACTTTAAGCAGGTATTCATTGTTTCATTTAAAACCCATTGTGGTGGTGTACAGAGCCAAAATGACGACAACTGTATCATTGTCCAAATAATTATGGACCTGACTGTATTTGTAACCACTTGCATTGCAGTTGGACTATTTGTTTGACACCTTTTTTTCTTTGGCAGAAATGGTGTCTCCAGATCCTTTAAGCTCCTCATCCAGCCCAATAAAATCCACTACCCCGTCACCCAACTCTAAACAGCACAACACATCTGGATCCAAAAGTCCTGGTCACACACAGGTCAGGAGACCAGCAGGAGGATCGTCTCGACCTCTTCCATCTCCAGGTAACTACTTTAAGATGAAATGTTGTAAAATGTTTATATATTCTTTGACTTTTTACCTTTGCAAAGGCATTTTGAGTGTCAAATGTTCCTAGCACCTGTGTTGGCTCATCTTCAGTCTTTGTTATTTGATGCTCTCAGGGGCTGCACCTCCCAAATCACATCACATCCTGACTTTGAGGGACCTGGAGGACACCCGTCGGCCTCGCAGGCTGTCATCAAGAAGCCGCTGCAGTTCCTCTCCAACAGACAGCGACCCATCTGTACCAATGACCCTCCGTTCTGGTGGCACCATCAACTCCAGATGTGCCCTGTTCAGCTCCCCTCCGAGGTCATCAAACTTGGGAGCAGCATCGCCTCCTCTGTCCCGTCAAAACTCAGCATCACCCATCTGGAGCTCCCCACCTCGATCCAACTCCAGCATCTCTGCAGGGCTGTCACCTCGGCAAGGAGCCATCACTCACTCCCCCAGAGGGGGGCAAAACTTTAAAATTACCACTCCTGTGTCTGCAGAGGTTCCCCAAGACTTCCTGGCGTCGTCCGAGGCAGAAGATGCAGCAGTGGCCACAACTAATGGGATCTCGCTAGCCCCTGATAACCTGGAAGAGGAGGTCGCCCACCTGATGGCCCAGGAGCTGCCCTACACTGTGTTTGACACGGACACAGAGGTAGCAGTGGCCTCCATGCTAAATGCAAAGCTCGAGTTTGACGAGGCTCTGCTCACGGAGAACGTGGCCCTCCACTGTGGAGCACAAGGTGGGAGAGGAGAGGTGGAAGGGGTGGTGCAAGATGTGGAAATGCAAGTAGAAAATCGGGACACTGAAGTTGAAGACTCAAGCCATTACTTGAAATTTTCACGCACAGTTGTGTGTGACACAACAAGCAGCGCGGACGCCTCAGGTCAGGTCACCTCAACACAGTCGATCTCACAGTTAGATGGAGCGGACGGAGGGTCAGACAGTGATGAAAGCGAGGCGGTAGATGATGAAGCCCAGGACACAGAAGGAGAAGATGAAGAGAGTAAGATTCACACCAACCATAATACACCTACTAAACAGCTGACAGTCGCTCTAAAGAGGCTGGAGTCAATCTACACTGTGTCGACAGCTGAGCCTGAATTTAAAGAAAATCCTTCCCCATCTGACGTTCTTGGAGCAAGTTATGCAAGTGATGATATGTCAGTTCAGGAGGAAGAGGTCCCGATGAGCTCTGAAACACCGACATCTCAAGATGAGGTGCACTTGGATTCAACTACAGGTCATTTTGTTTCTGGTGAAGATGGTGCCATAGTTTGCCCAAATAACAATGAAGTTGGCAATGATGAGAATAGCTCATCGGCCGACTCCATTGAAGGATTTAAGGATGATTTGAATGACCCTGACTACTCCCCAGACTGTACACCAGGTCCAGAGCGTAAAACCAAAAAATCTCCCACAGGACAGATGAAAGCCCCTGTTATGAAAGCAAAGCGTCCAGCACCAAACCTCAAACGTTTGTCCCCAAAACCGTGTCTTCCACAGCAGCGCAGACTCAAATTGTTGTTGCCCCCACAATCTGCACAGATTGTAAATAATGCGTCAGCCTCCCCTGCTGCTGCTGTTGGTGCAGTTCCACGTGCAGTCACCTCTCCCATTGTGATCAATGGTTTAAACATACCTGTTCAGGCTGGTGCATCACGGGCCGGACCCATTGCTATCCGCTTGGACAGCTCAAGGCAGTCAGGAAGTCAGCAAGTTTTGATTCCGAATCAAGCGGAAGCCACTGGCTCACTGCCGCCCTTGGCTCCCACCCCTCAGGTCCTTCTGGTCAACAGACAAGGTCAGATTCTGATCAAAGACCCGAGATCAAACACTTATCAGTCGCTCAGTACAAACTCGCCCACCTACAATAGAATAAGCCAGATTGCCAGGATTCTCCACAGCGGTAATGCCTTGCAGCGCTCAGTCCCACGTGTCATAATAAAGCCTCATTCCAGCCTCAATGCCACAAACGTCTCTCCTGCCAGTAACCATATTACGACAACCGAGAGAAAAATCATTGTCAGAATGGTGCCTGTGAAAACCACCGGGACTCCAGCTCCCGCAGCTCCTGTCAGTTTGCAGAGTGTTCCTGAAGCCAGTTTCTCTAACATCGAGGGGAACACAGCGCAGGCTATTATTGACAGAGCTATGGCTACACACCGTGAGGAGCCACAGACAAAACCCATCATCCTCCGTAAAGCTAGCCGACCAAAGGCCAGACATCGAAGACCGGCCCGGCTTCAGGATGCAGATGTCTCAGATGAGTCACCAGCTACACCTTTAGAGTCCCCCAGCAGTTCCCTCAATGAACCAGACTTCAACCTGCAGCCAACCCCTGCATCATCACGCCACCAGGTGAGAGTCAAGAGAGTGTCATCGGTGTCTGAACGGCCGTCCAGGAAGAAATCCAAGATGGACTTCTTGAGGGATCCCTCGAGTGAGCTGGATGAAGTTAATGAAGCCAGGTATTCAAACATTTGATTCTTCCCTAATTGTCTTGACTGCAGTGTACAAGAGTGTGAGATTATAATAAACTACTACATTAAAGGTTGATTACATGAGCTGCAATGCAAGTGAGATAAACTTTTCGGGCTGCACCTAGTGGTTATTTTTATTATTTGTTTGGTTGTTACATGGTGAACGACACATGCTCATGTGATATTTAACTGAATCAGTGTATTAAGTCACCAGAATGTTTCTTGTTTTCTCCAAATAGGCCGAGTGGTGTGAGAATGAAAGCTCCAACAATGAAGGATATCCTTGATATGGACCAGGAGAGTAAGATGTCTGAGCCCGAGCCACCGAGGATTACAGCTCCACCACCTCCCCCAGCACCCTCCAGGTTAGTTCATTTTAAAAGTGCTCTTATTAAGAGCCTTAATACTCTGCTATAAAGTAACAAAGAGGCAAATGGTTAATGACAGAATACATGAATTTCAAGGTCAGTGTTTACCCACCTCCATATTTGAGGGATAGAAAAGCAAAACAAGTTTTTTAAAAGGAGAAAACCTAAGATAAATTATTAAAATGTGTTATTTATTTTTTCCTAAAAGGTGTCGTAGTTCTCACATTTGTTGTTTGTACTTTTATTTATCCGTTTGTCCTTTCTGCTCAGGCACCCTCGGGTTGAGAGTCCGCCCACACATGCACAAACCAATAGTCAAATTCAGGGTAATACACACACGTGGGTCAGCGCTCGCCATGGAGACATCACCGAATGGGGCCCATATTCAGGTTCTTAACTTAATATTATGTGTTTATATATTTGGATGCCTGTTACAGCAATTTTATGTGATTAATAAGGAAACAGTCGTGGAATATTTCTTTTCTATATTTTCTTTTCTACACTTAAATGCAATTACGACTCATTTAAATCCACTCAGGCTTTAGTTCAGAAGAAGATGCACCAGCACCCAAACACAGAAAGAGGACATACATGAACCAGCCCCACCTCCGCTTTGAAATCACCAGCGACGATGGCTTCAGTGTTAAGGCGAACAGCATAGAGGGTAAGAGCTGCTTGGTAACTGTGTATGTTATTAAAGGAGCTATATGTAAGAAATCTAAAGCAAATAGTCGTAAAATCCTCCCTAATATGTCACAGAGAATAAGGAATAATGTTTATATAACATACTGATCTCACTGACAACAATAGTACAGCCAGAATATTCGCATTAAAAAAAAAAAAACATTCTTACATACAGCGCCTTTAACATTCTGCTTGTTTGACAAGTGGGTTATTTTTAGTCACAAATTATACATTTCTATGAGTTTAGTTTTAGTCTGATATAAAAATACTAGTTCAGGAATAATCTTCTAATCATGTTGTGCATTGAGAAAATTGTCAGCGTGTGCAGCCCTGCAGAGCTCTCACTCCTTCCTTATCTCTCTGCTCCTTCAGTCGCCTGGCGTGCAGTGATTGACGGTGTCCTCGAAGCTCGAGCAGGCTTCCACCTGAAGCAGCTGCCTCTGGGCGGGATGAGCGGGCCGCGGGTGCTCGGCGTCGTCCACGATGCTGTCATATTCCTGCTGGAGCAACTGGAAGGTGCCGCAAACTGCCAACGCCACCGCTTCCGCTTCCACCGCTGCGAGGACATCGAGGAAGAGCTTCCCCTCAATCCGAGCGGCTGTGCTCGCACTGAAGTCTACACGCGGTACAGACACAGTTACTTTTGGTCATAACTGGTTTTGTTTTTAAGCACTGTTAAAAGGGTTTATTTAAGTGTTATTGGTTTCTTTGTGTGTGTTTCTTGTCTGTTATTTAAATACATCTCAGATTAATGGTATTTTCTTTCTTCGTCTGTTTCCTAATTAGGAAAGCGACCTTTGATATGTTTAACTTCCTGGCATCACAGCACAGAACGCTCCCTGACATCACAGGGCCCTTTGATGAAGAGGAGGATGAATTCCCACTGAAATCTTCCAGGTTAGGGGATAAAATTTGTGCCACTGTCCTGGTCCTAAACCACATTGAATAGGAATTTAAAGTTATTAAAAGATGGTGATTTAGTAGATGCTATATCCATGTTGACACCTTTTCTGTGTCTCACTCTCAGACGAGCCACCAGCAGTGAGCTTCCCATGGCAATGAGATTCAGACACCTGGAAAAAATCTCCAAAGAAGCAGTAGGAGTTTACAGGTAAGAGCAACAAAAAACACCAAGGATGGCATGAGTTTTCTTTTTTATTAATGCTCAATGTATTTAACTGTGTCCTGCTCTGTAATCCTCTCAGATCTGACATTCATGGTCGCGGCCTCTTCTGCAAAAGGAACATCGAGGCCGGCGAGATGGTGATTGAATACGCTGGCACTGTCATTCGCGCTGTCCTGACAGATAAGCGGGAAAAATATTACGATAGCAAGGTAACTAAACATAACATACACTATTGTACTGAGGAATCATCATAATGACAATGAGAGCTTCTGCCTCAGTGTTTTTTATGTTCATTCCTGATGAATGCTTTTAATGTGAAGCAGGCTTTTGACAAATTGACTACAGCATTTTATTTTCTGCATCTTTTCTCTAGCAAAACTTGGCTAATGCACATGATATATTTCCAGGTAACCTTAGCTACCGCATTGTTCTCTGTTATTATTCAGCCATTATAAAGCCATAATACACGTACGTTCTTTACATGCATTATGAATCTCAGCTAGCGATCACTGATTAAGGTTAAATGTACTTAAACGTGACGTTGACGTTACCTTCTTGTGTCGGGTCCGCTCGGCAAACTCAATGCATACAGTGATGTTTTCTACTTAGATGTTGTAGCATTGAGGAAGTGCTATTGTGGTATGCTAACTCCGTTTTGCAATACACACTGACCTGTTTTCGTTTTAACTTGTAATGATCATCCCACACTCTACGCTTTCTGTTGTTTTCTTTGGCGTGTCTCCTTTTTTTGGTCTTGCACTTTTCTTGTCCCTCTTCCTCCATTGTTTTGCAAACCGCGCCATATCCACGTTGTAGCCGTGTAGGCTATCAACAGCAAAAATATCTTGTGCGCTTGTGCAACAGAAACAACCATCAGTGCAAAACACTGTGTCTATAATTGAACTGGATTTAACGAAGCTCAAGGCTTTTTAGAATTTGAATTATTGGAGTTACTTGAGGAATCGTTTCAGCCCTAGACTGAACCAAAAGGAAGCTGAATGGTGTTTGGCTTTCCGTGGAGCTCAACGCCCATCTGCCAGCGAAAGTCTTGGCAGGGCAGCATGGAGGGAAGCCAAAAGTGTTCATCTGCACACACTGTGATGACACATAGCTGGTTGAATAGTTTTCCTTTATTTTCATTGTCTTCCGTCTTGATCAGCAGGTGAAGTGGTGGTTCACTTTTACATTGTGGCCTGAAGCCTATAGTTCGGCTTTACCCTCTATCATTATCTTTTTATTTTCACTGTTTTTACCGCTGAGTCAGTCCTACATCCTAGATTTATCCTTAAAATGCATCTTGTTGGGGTTAGAGCTGCAGGAGGGAGGCTGTATTTTCAAATTCTGCTGTTTTTTTTCCCCAGATTTAAGTCTCTGATGCGCTGTCAATGTGAAAACAATGACTAACTCTGTTCTGTAATCTCCCTCCACCAGGGCATCGGTTGCTACATGTTCCGCATCGACGACTTCGACGTGGTGGACGCGACGATGCAAGGTAACGCAGCTCGTTTCATAAACCACTCGTGCGAGCCGAACTGCTACTCGCGTGTCATCAATGTGGACGGCCGCAAGCACATCGTCATCTTCGCCCTGAGGAAGATCTACCGGGGAGAAGAGCTGACCTACGACTACAAGTTCCCCATCGAGGATGAGAACAGCAAGCTGCGCTGCAACTGCGGGATGAGGCGCTGCCGCCGCTTCCTGAACTAGTACAACACACACGCACACACCACGTACCAATAGCCATCATGTTTAATGCACTTGAAGTCAGGAGGATTTTAATGAACTGATGAAGGCGACTGTTGTCACGTAGCCATAGGAGTGAGGTTGCAGATGCACACCTGTATCTACTGAAAGTCTTCGTGTTGAAGCTTAATTTTTATGATGGAGGACAGCATGTGTTCGTTTCTGTCCTCTGAACTGCTGTCAACAGTCACAAACCAGATTAGAGCCATATGTCAAAGCTTGGGGTGAATACTATTTATGTGATGTCAGACTGCTGGATTGTTGATCTGTGAGGAAGTGCGGTTTAATTAAGGAAACTGCATTTTGGGGGGGATCTGTGTACTGTTTCACCATCTCATACAACACATTTTTTCAGTCTTACATGATTAAATTCGTCAGTAGCCTCTGCTGGAACTGGGGCCAGACCACAGCTGGGAGGCAATTATTACCAGCTACAAACGGTGCAAACTAAAATAACCTGATTGCAGCTATTACAGTGTAAAGGGGGCATCTATTATTATGCTGGTGACACAGTGTTTTTTGTAAATACAAGGTCACAGAGAAGGATGAGGAGAATTTATTCAGCACCTTACTTTGACACAGCCTTCTCTGGTTGCACTGGTGTCACAGCAGACAGGACAGATTTTACTTTAGAGCAAAATAAACACAGTGGACTCCTCGTGTACATTGTAGTGCAGCTACCTTTTAACTCTGGATTCTACGAGTCTTGTGAGCTGGGACTCCCAATATTTTAGGTGCTGGTGACATTTACCACAAAAGGTAGTTTTAATATAGTCGCCCAAACCTTTCCACCCCCTTCATTCAGTAAGTTTCCTGTTTTTATCTGTGACGGCAGAGATGCTGTGATCGAATTGCTTTTATCCCGCCATACAGTCTGTTCTTTATTTGTTCATTTGTGCTGTCTGTGTATTTTAAGGTTAATGAGGGAATTTCCTTGGTGCAGGGTTCATATATCGACTGAATATAGTGATCTTGCTCTGCACAGTCCCTCATAAGTCTTTTTGTATTTTTGTATATTTGAACAATAAATGTTTATTCAACAAGCTGATGGAAATAAATGTTTGAGCTTTTAACTTTCTATTTGTAAGTGAAGGCTGACTAATAGAACTGAAGCTGAGTAATAAGTTAATCTGAGTTAACCTTATTTCTGTTTTTGTTGCGGCTGTTTTGCACCCTGTTCCTCCTGTTTCTTTGTCTCTTACAGGTGTTCTACCTCAAAGGTGTTGTTATGAAGCATGGTTTAAATGTAACTACACATTGAAAAACAGCTTCCTAATTTCCTCATTGTTGAGTTATTATTACTTCCTAATAGTATGAAAACAAAACTTCAATGCTTTTAAACACTGATTTGATATGCTTGCCATTATTTTTAAGGAACTAGTGGCCACCCTTTTTCGGCTCGTTTTTCCCGTGTGCATTCACACTCAGCTAACAGATGTACATAGGGTACTAGAGCATAGGATAAAGGCTGAATGCTGTGGAAGTATGTTTTTTTTTTTTAGGATTAATAATTGACACGCAAAGCTTTGTTACTTTATTGGCTCACTATGGATGGATCTTTGCCTGTATATAGATGTATAAAGAATTTCTAAACCTGTTAAATATTTTTTTACCTACATTTTTTTTGTATTTATGTTCAATAAACATTTGAGATGTTCAAAATTTGCCTTGTATTTGCCAATGTTTTCACCAATGAATAAATATTAAAAAAGTGAAATTACAATATACCTTGTGATTCTTGAAGTTACTGGCCAGACACATTTAAAAGTATGTTTTGTTTTGTTTTTTAAAGTACTCAGCTATCATTAATATTTTGTTTGACATGGTTTTCCTACATAAAAAGTAAACAAGTGCACTCTAGTTTTGAAGCCTTGCTGCCGTTGACATCTTGATTTTTGTTTGGGTGGATCCGACTCATAGATTGTGGTGACACCTCACAGACAGCCTGTCACTCAAAGTGTCCACGCCTTTAATTATGTGTGACTTTATGTCTTAATAAAATGCAAACGAGTGAGTTGTAGAACTCCGAACAGTCATGAGCAGGAAAGTAAATTACAGAGATCAAAACCATTTTTTGTACCAGGGCGTAAACACATTTATATCTGCTGTAAAGTTGAGCATTTTAACATGGGGCGTCTACGGGGATTGACTCACTCTTGGAGTCAGCCCCAAGTGGCCGTTAGAGGAACTGCAGTTTGTGGCACTTAAGTATTGGCTTCATTTTTAGGCCCTGGATTTTGCTGCTTGAGTGCGCATCAAGATGGCTAATGTTTCTGTCCTGTCCTCATCTCCTACTGTTAAGTTGTTTAATTTATAGAAGGACTAACGAAAATGTATGCCATTTGTTATATTGTTTGTTGGCTTGTAGGCTAACTGGCAGTGGCTGACACAGTATTGCAGTTTCAAAGGTTGTGAAACATCTGCTGCACTGGGGGGTTTGGTAGATAGTGGAAGGAAGCTCCAGGGTCCTGTTTACAACCAAAAACTGCACACTCTACCATGTTAGTTGTCAAAGCTTTAACTATGCCACTGCTAACTCTGCTCTCTGTACTGACAGGTCTACTATGTACTTGAGGTTTCAGGTTTCTTTGCTGTTGTTGTGTAATAGTCTGTTCAGCCATCAATATGTGTTTCCTATATTAGACAGTGACTGGCTTTCATATTGGTGACGTACTTAATTTGGCTTGCCTGGTGTTCATTTGAATCTCAGTTTTTACAGAAGTGCACAGATGAATGTGTAAACAGCTCTCCGGTGACAAATTTTTCACAAATGCAAGTCGGTAAAAGTTTAGACAGAAAAACATTTTTGAGTGGAGGGGGATTTAAAGTGAGCATATATAAACGTTCATGGTGTACATTTTTATTGTGTGTAAAATGTGTGATAGTGTGTTTCAGTCCTTTTTCCTGCAGTAATGATCTTGTGATCCCTGTTTGGGAAACCACAAATATATACAGTACTCTTTCCATTACGTTGCTCTTTCTTCAGTGTTAGTGCTGCAGTGTTGGAACGGTTTTATCAGATTTTGATAAGGAGTTGAGACCAGCAACACCTGCAAACTGTGAACCACTATCATGCATATGGACAGTCAACTCAACTCAACTTTATTTATATAGCACCTTTCATACAAACATGGAGCCCAAAGTGCTTCACATGGCATAACAGGAATGACGCAGGCACAAGGCAATAAAATATTAAAAAAGCAAACCAGCCAAAACAGAACAAACTAACAAAAAAGATGATTAAAACTCCATAGAATAAAAACAGCCTGGAATGAATGAATAAAATAATATCAAATCTCTGATGTATGGAGGGGCAAGGTCATTTAGGGCTTTATAAACAAGTAAAACAACTCTAAAATCAATTCTAAAAGATACAGTGATCAATTTTCTTTGTTTTAGTCAGCACTCTGGCTGCAGTATTCTGGACTAGCTGTAGTTTTCTTAGTGACTTTTTGGGTAGTCCAGTGAAAAGGGAATTGCAGTAGTCTAAATGGCTGGTTACGAAAGCATGAGTGAGTATTTCGGCATCTCTCTGGGTTGAAAAAGGTCTGACCTTTGCAAAGTTCCAAAGATGAAAAAAGGATGTTTTGATGACCCTGTTAAAATGAGAATTGAAATTTAAATCACTCCTAAATTAGTAATATTAGTTTTAATGTTTAAGCTTTAAAAAGTTTTTACCCATCCATTCATTAATGTCAGTGAGACAGGCAATGAGAGCATCAGTGCATTAGGGGCATTTGGTGCGACAGAGACATATAAGTGTGTGTCATCAGCATAAGAATGGTAACCAATGTGGTGATGGCTAATGATGTTTCCAAGTGGAAGCATATATAATGGAAACACAATTGGTCCATGGATGCTTCCTTGAGGAACACCACATTTAATGCCATGAGTCTCTGACGCATAAGCACCCAGGCTGACAAAAAACTGTCTATCAGTTAAATACGACTTAAACCATGCTAAAACAGTGTCAGAGAGAAAAATCAGTCCTGTTCTATGGAGCCGAGACCTGGAGAACAACAAATAACTCAGCCTGCAAAGTGCAAAGCCTCATTAACAGGTGCCTGAGAAGAATCTTGAAAATCCATTGGCCAGACAAGATCACCAACGAAGATCTTTGGATGAAGACACAGCAAATACCAACTAAAGATGAAATTGGACGAAGAAGATGGAAATGGATAGGGCACACTCTTCGAAAACCAATGTCAAACATCACCAGACAGGCTCTGACATGGAACCCTCAGGGGAAGAGAAAGAGGTCGGCCAAGAAACACCTGGCAAAGGGATCTGCAGGCAGACACCAAGAAGATGGGATACACCTGGTCACAGATAGAAAAGAAAGCCAGCAATCGGGTACTCTGGGATCCCTCGTTGACGGCCTATACCCCAAAAGGGGTGTACGGCATAAGTAAGTAAGTAAGAGTGTGTGAACCAAGGCCATTAGGTTGGATACCATCAGGGCAGAAAAAAGCTGGACATTTCCAGAAGAGATTAAAATTGTCGATAAAAGCGACGTTGCAAGCTCCTTAAGTTCTGATTGCTGATTACATAACAAGTGCACTGTTCAGTTAGAGGTTCCCATTCAGTTGCCTGAGAGTTTTATCTGTTAGTTTGACATCACTCAAGGTCTTGTTGTTGCCTTCAGCCATATGGCTCTTTCCCAGAGTTTTGTGTTATACTTTTGTGACCTTGAGAAATTTATGTACGTAAGGGCAGGGGTGGTGTATATAAAGAGTTACATTGTGAACTGTTCTGTATATTCAGAGGAGAGTCACCATGAAGGCCCTGATATTCCTGGCTTTGCTCGGAGCTGCATGTAAGAGACAAACCAATGTACTATTTTATCTCCTAAAAGAAGTATTAATTCCCACAAACCTTTATGTATTTACCGTATATTTTCATTCATGGCAATGGTTAGGTATTTTTAAGTTGTATTTCACATGTTATATTTTATACATACTGTTTCAGTTGCTGCAGCTGATGATAGGGTTGTTGGCGGGTATGAGTGTCCCAGACACTCTGTTCCCTACCAGGTGTCTCTGAACGCTGGATATCACTTCTGCGGTGGATCCCTCATCTCCAGCCAGTGGGTGGTGTCTGCTGCTCACTGCTACAAGTCGTAAGTACAGGAAGTCACACGTTTTTTGCGTTACAATCAACTAATGTGCAAGTTGTATTGAAGGATTTGACTTACCTGCACCAGATACCAGGGTTTTATTGGTCTTTAGCTCTCTGTAGGTGCACAGACATGTACCAAGATGAACACACTTCCTGTAAAAGTTGAAATCAGGAGTTGGCCTCATAAGTTTTTACTGTAAGCAAATGTAAAACTGAAAAAGATACCATTAACAAAGAGTTAGACCAATGGTAGTATGAAAAGAGTGTCAGTTGATATATGCCTTATAATTATACTACTTAATCAGGTCACTAACTTTATTACTTTAAAAACATGTTTAATACAATATTCAGAAACCATTTTTAAGAAAAAAGACTTTAAAACAGTCTTAACTTTAATTCTTCCACTAGTCGTATCCAGGTCCGCCTCGGCGAGCACAACATCGCAGTGAATGAGGGCACCGAGCAGTGGATCGATGCTGCCAAGATGATCAAGCACCCACAGTATAACAGCTACAACCTGGATAACGACATCATGCTGATCAAACTGAGCCGCCCCGCCAGCCTCAACAACTATGTCCAGACTGTGGCCCTGCCCTCTCGCTGCCCCCAGCCCGATGAGAACTGCCTGGTGTCCGGGTGGGGCAACACCTCCGCCAATGGAGGTAAGTGTTGTATGGAGGCTGAGAGAAAGGAGGGAAGAAGTTTGGTCTCAAATTATGATGTAGGTGTGTGGATGTGACGAATAACATAAGGCAAGCTCAATAACTTGAAGGCATGTACTGCTGTAACTACTAAATTACAGAAGGTGCCATTAGACTCAAGCTGGGTAGAAGTGCAGCACAAAATACAGGATTATGATACAGATTAGTACATGCTTAAAGGGGTAATCAACCAGTTTTACATATAAAGTTCTGTTTGTTCAACTTGAGAGGTATTTCTCAGCCTTTGACAAACAGATGTAGATAATGTATTTTGTGGCTTCAAGGGCCCTGACACACCAATCCGCCCTGTTGTTCCTCTGGTTTCCCTTATTTAATGATGAATACAGACTACCGCTTGGCATATACTACTACAGCCTTTACTATTAATACTACAGTTGCTACTTTTGGTTTTATGAACCCATCAAAATTTCTTGTGAAATTTTCTAGCTGTGAAAAATGCAATATGACATACAGTACAGGCCAAAAGTTTGGACACACCTTCTCATTCAATGCGTTTTCTTTATTTTCATGACTATTTACATTGTAGATTCTCACTGAAGGCATCAAAACTATGAATGAACACATGTGGAGTTATGTACTTAACAAAAAAAGGTGAAATAACTGAAAACATGTTTTATATTCTAGTTTCTTCAAAATAGCCACCCTTTGCTCTGATTACTGCTTTGCACACTCTTGGCATTCTCTCCATGAGCTTCAAGAGGTAGTCACCTGAAATGGTTTTCCAACAGTCTTGAAGGAGTTCCCAGAGGTGTTTAGCACTTGTTGGCCCCTTTGCCTTCACTCTGCGGTCCAGCTCACCCCAAACCATCTCGATTGGGTTCAGGTCCGGTGACTGTGGAGGCCAGGTCATCTGCCGCAGCACTCCATCACTCTCCTTCTTGGTCAAATAGCCCTTACACAGCCTGGAGGTGTGTTTGGGGTCATTGTCCTGTTGAAAAATAAATGATCGTCCAACTAAACGCAAACCGGATGGGATGGCATGTCGCTGCAGGATGCTGTGGTAGCCATGCTGGTTCAGTGTGCCTTCAATTTTGAATAAATCCCCAACAGTGTCACCAGCAAAACACCCCCACACCATCACACCTCCTCCTCCATGCTTCACAGTGGGAACCAGGCATGTGGAATCCATCCGTTCACCTTTTCTGCGTCTCACAAAGACACGGCGGTTGGAACCAAAGATCTCAAATTTGGACTCATCAGACCAAAGCACAGATTTCCACTGGTCTAATGTCCATTCCTTGTGTTTCTTGGCCCAAACAAATCTCTTCTGCTTGTTGCCTCTCCTTAGCAGTGGTTTCCTAGCAGCTATTTGACCATGAAGGCCTGATTGGCGCAGTCTCCTCTTAACAGTTGTTCTAGAGATGGGTCTGCTGCTAGAACTCTGTGTGGCATTCATCTGGTCTCTGATCTGAGCTGCTGTTAACTTGCGATTTCTGAGGCTGGTGACTCGGATGAACTTATCCTCAGAAGCAGAGGTGACTCTTGGTCTTCCTTTCCTGGGTCGGTCCTCATGTGTGCCAGTTTCGTTGTAGCGCTTGATGGTTTTTGCGACTCCACTTGGGGACACATTTAAAGTTTTTGCAATTTTCCGGACTGACTGACCTTCATTTCTTAAAGTAATGATGGCCACTCGTTTTTCTTTAGTTAGCTGATTGGTTCTTGCCATAATATGAATTTTAACAGTTGTCCAATAGGGCTGTCGGCTGTGTATTAACCTGACTTCTGCACAACACAACTGATGGTCCCAACCCCATTGATAAAGCAAGAAATTCCACTAATTAACCCTGATAAGGCACACCTGTGAAGTGGAAACCATTTCAGGTGACTACCTCTTGAAGCTCATGGAGAGAATGCCAAGAGTGTGCAAAGCAGTAATCAGAGCAAAGGGTGGCTATTTTGAAGAAACTAGAATATAAAACATGTTTTCAGTTATTTCACCTTTTTTTGTTAAGTACATAACTCCACATGTGTTCATTCATAGTTTTGATGCCTTCAGTGAGAATCTACAATGTAAATAGTCATGAAAATAAAGAAAACGAATTGAATGAGAAGGTGTGTCCAAACTTTTGGCCTGTACTGTATTTAAATGGCATCTATGTTCGACCACTGGTTCAAAACCCAAATGTATTCACAATAACATGTGTATGACAGGGTATTTACAAGGATATGAAACAGAGGAAAGCTGCAAATCTTAACACTAGAGAAGCTGTAACCACCAAGTTTGGCTTTTACTTGATAAGGGATGAATTAGCAAAACTAGAGTCAATTAATATTCCATCAGCAAATCAATTAATCAGCCAATCACTACATTACTCATATCTAAAACCACATTGTAAATGTATTATATGCATAACGGTAGGTACAGTAACTGAGGCTTGCCTTCCTGCTCCACAGACAACTTTCCAGACAGGCTGCAGTGTCTGAGGCAGCCCATCATCGATGACAGGATCTGCAGGAACGCCTACTCCCACCTCTTCACAGAGAACATGGTTTGCTCCGGATTCATGCACGGAGGTGCCAGCAGCTGCCAAGTGAGTTGGACTAAACCACAGTGAACGCACAGGGAGTCAGGTGGTGCATGAGTGTGCATCTCTTCCAGCAGTACAAAGAGCACACAAAAGTACACATTATAGCACTTATTTTTCACTGACCATTGAGTATACTTACTCCTTTAATGCAAATGATGCACATCTCCACTCTAATACCTTTTAATTAAATGCAGAGCGATATTTTTCAGTGTACCCACTTTTTAGATTACCCCAGTGGCACTGCTGTGTCTGTATCATTGACTGCAGGAGGATGATGAAACAGTATTGCAAGAGACTCATCGTCACCTTCTGAAACTGCTTCCTCTTCTAGGTTTTTTTTAAGATGTTTTATGATTAATGTGATTTAAATAAGTAAATATATACTATGCAGGACTTCCTAAAAAACAATATATAGACTCAGAATACAGAATTAATACCTATCAGTAATCACTTATGACCCACTAGAACTGCGTGGCAGTGTATTTATCTAATTATGCTGTGGTCAGGATGTTAATGGGCACAGCATTTTGATTTCTTAGAATTTCTCTTTGTCTAAATACAGTATGAGAGCAACTGTAACGTTCCCCAAATTTCCCTGGGGGATCAATAAAGTAATCTGAATCTGAATCAGATACAGAGAAAGGTTCTGGTAAAACCACAGTGGGAGGATGCTGGACATGTAATGCTATAATCATAAGCAGTAGATTGATTTAAAATATTTTATATTTGTATTTTTATTAATGATAGACTCTGAATCCCTAACTCACAACCATGTGCACCAGATATACATTATACAGCTAATATCTGTCAGCATAGTGGTTTTATCATAACACTCTTGACCACACCCAAAGGTGAAACAGTTGAAACTCTTAAACAGAGAGGGCAGAATTTACCATGTATTAACTATGACCACTTAAAGTAACATTTATAACCCTGTCATGCTGCCTCTGTGTGTGTTTGCAGGGAGACTCTGGTGGTCCTCTGGTGTGCAACGGTCAGCTGCAGGGAGTCGTGTCCTGGGGTTATGACTGCGCCATGAAGGGACACCCCAGCGTCTACGCCCGTGTGTGCCGCTTCAACAGCTGGATCAGCACCACCATGCGCAACAACTGAACACACACAGACGCCCATACATCCACGTGCAAACTGACCTTTCAACAACACACTCAGCGTTCATATTCAGTTTATTTGAAACGCCCTCTGTATTATTGTTTCATTCATATACATCTCATGAATAACATGTTTTGGCATGATAATCTGGAGAAGTGGATGAATTAATAAAAAATATACATCAGCATCCACTGACTGTCTTTTTATTCTACATTGAGTTTCACAGTTGTCAAAACAATATTAACATGCTTGTGTTTGGTAATATTGTATTCTCAGTGATTCATTCTGTGCTGTCACAAGGCCACTGCTGTCTTTAAATTCAAACAAAAAACAGACCTAAAACTTCTGCACAACATCCATGTATAACATTGAATCTATTGTACTATAGAGACATGCATCTCTATGAAATGCCTTTTGTACTCTGGATGACACTGCAGTGATATGGGAGACAAGCAAACTTGAGTAAATAAGCAGTAAGGCATAACTGCATTACTTGTCTGGATTCTTTACATGCACTCCTCAGATGGCTCAGATGGCGCTTTGTAAACTTCGCTGCTTCTTGTTTGCTGAGGCAACCTAAACATACAAAGAAAAAGACAGAGAGAGAGAAGAGGGTATAGCTATGCAGGCTTATTAAACAGGGAGACGTGTGCAGCGTGATATAGGGATGGCATGATAATAAATAGTGGAGACTGAGGGCAATTGTAACATCTTAAATTACATAATAAGAAATGAGACAGAACTATGACACCCATTATGCACATGGTCTTAGATGATCCCTCTCTGCATACATCAACATAAAAACCAACATAAAGTGTCTTAGCAAGTGTCTCATGACATGTAGCTTTGTGTTTCTACTGTGTTTGAATGCACTCATTTCAAGCTGCAGTTCATTTTGAATCGTAAAGCTAATGAAAGTTCAACAACCCACCTGACCAGCGATCCTATCCAAATCTCTCTGACCCTGAGGGGTAAGTCTCCGTCCACTGTAATCACATGTAAAAAAAAGACATCACTGATTCAAATCATCACACCATTGTCTTTAACACAGCTTTTCCCCTCTCTTTCTCACCCGTTGGGGTCCTTCTCCACCATCTTGAGGCCTTCCAGAGCTTGGAGGACCTTCCTCGCCACGTTTCTAGAGCCCACACTGAAGTGGGCGGGGCACACACCATTCCTCTGACGCCCTCCGTAGATCTTGATCATGGAGCCCACGCCGACCCCTCCTCGCAGGTACAGGTGACGAGCTGTGGATGCTTGTGAGACGGGCAAACAGTATATATGTTGCAATATATTCTTGTTTTCTCACCTGAAACGCTCTTGTACTCGTTCACCCGAAAGACATGAAATCAAACATTCCAACTTATCAACTGTGTGACATTTTTCTCTGCACACTCAAATGTGGGGTTAGGGTTAGTGGTTAGGTATGTGGGGACGATATGTCTTAGTAGATAACATACACAGCAGCTGAGTGGCGATTGTGTACATATGCTTATATTGTATATACTGTACCAGTTATGGAAAATCTTCTCATAATGCGACTGACAAATATTACACAAGGGTTTCGTGTACAATCATATATCACATGGATTCCACAAATAGAGTCCAGACACCAGCAAGAGTATTTGAAATGATTACACGCATCAAAATATCCTTTTACACAACTCTTGGACCACGTTTCCAACAAAAACTTTAGGTATAGTACACCTAGAGTAGATCCTGTACGTAACCAGTACGGACATAAACCTAAACCCTACATCTGTTTCGCGTTTCCACCTTTGACAGTACTCTTAAATGTAGGTAGGGTTGTGACCAGATACCAGCATAACTGCTCTGTCCAGCTTTTGCTGTATTTCCTCTTCATCGACAATTCAGAGGAACATCTGCAGATTGCTGATTGTCCACAGAACAGGGTTGTATGCCAACATTTTCGGAGCAAAAAAGAACAGGCTGGGGTGTTTGTAGTCTGTCGCAATAGATGAGATATTTAAAAAATAGCAGGTTTATACATTAAGTCCTTGGGTACCAGGTACCTAAACAGAGGGGTCGCGAAAAACAGGATGGAATAGAACAGTTCTATTGGTACCATCTACAAATTTTGATAATGGACATGCAAAACTAACCGTTCTAATGTGTAACACGCTGAACTGAACTGAATAACTGAACTGAACTTACTGGAAACAAGGCTATTTAGTGTAGTATTGGTCATATTTGGATTCTTTGTTCCCCATGGAGGCATGCAAGAAAAACTACTTACAATATATACACATGATATACAATATACAAATGATCATTTGGGAATAAAATATTCCTTTAAAAACAAAAATCATCAGATGGGATTTCCTGGAACAAAATTTTATAAAGGAGATTTAAAGGATCTTTGAGTTGTAAAGGTTTGAGAACCACTGATAATGAGTATAAAAAATGCACAATGGAAATACTGAGAAATGTTTAATTCATTTAGCTAAGGCTGTAACTAATGAACAGCAGTATTCTCATTCTTGATCCAGTCCATAAAATCCAAGAAAAGACACATGCCCAGAGCTTAACATGTTGCTAACTAATCACTGATCGTGTGTGAGCAACAGTTAAACACCCACACAGATTTTTTTGCATTTATATTTGGTTAATTACTTGAAATTAACAAAATCAATTAATCAACCAAGTGTTTAGCTGTTGCAGATGAATTGATGCATGGGAAACACTTCCAGTGTGACCAACCTGCTCTGGTGTAAAACCAGTTGTCATCGCAGGGAGCCAGCTCCTTGTGCCTGGCAAGCTTCACAGTGTCAACCCACTCTGGAACCTTCAGTTTGCCAGATCTGAAAAATCAATTATCAGTGAACGTGATGAATCAACTGACTGGACCTTTTGCTCAAACAACATAAGGTACAGGAAAAGGGGATTCATTCAACACATACTGTATGTATGAGGGTGCTTATGTTGTAACCGCTCTCCCAGTGTGTTTCAGTGGAGTAGTGCCAGTACATAGCCACAGCCTCTTACAAATACATATATATCCCGTACAAGAAGAACTGTGTTTGATGTCTGCCATCTTGTCTGCAGAGAGGTCCTTATCTCCGAACCTTGCCATCCGTGACATTTAGGAGGCTCTACAGGAAACTGCAGCACATCGTTTCAGTTCTGCCTCAGCATCCCTGCTGACTCCCAGGCTGTTACTTTGATTTATCACATATACTGTAGCCCACATACAATATTTATACCCACACTTGCTTTTTTAATCATTTCACACTGCTATCTGCAGTGCCAAGATACTTTACATGAGGTGCAACAATTTAAATTTATTTCACCAGTGTATAATCTAGCTCTGTAAGAGATATTCATGTGATAGACGTGTGTATTGTTTTGGTGGAAAGAATCCATTTTGAGAGGAGAAAATATGGTTTTGAGTGCAGTGTTTTATTTTATTATAGACTTGTGGAGTTTTGACAAAATGGTTACTTCATTTCAGTTTTGAGTTTTTGGAAATTGAGCAGGAAAAACATTTCAACGATTGGGAACAACTGTATGTTCTATGATTAAACTGTTTTACCAAAAAGAATATTTTTGGATGTAACCCCTTTGTATTCACCACCATTTTGAATATCAACTGTAATTTAGTTACATATTTTTGTCAGTAACTGCAACTGATCACAATTAGATTTATTTTGTGATTTAATTAAATGTAACTGGTTAGGCTACATGTAACTAGTTACTACCCAACACTACTTATGACTATGAGATTTTCTGTGGCATCTATCTACTATCTATGTATTTCGAAAACCAAGGAGATGGTGGTGGATTCAGAAGACAGAAGTCCCCCCATCAACCAGTCTCAATACAGGGGGAGGACAGTGAAGTGGTGCACACCCACAAATATCTGGGGGTCCTCTTGGATGATAAGCTGGACGCCACCTGTTCTTCCAGCGGACACTGAGGTCCTTTGATGTGTGTGTGGCGATATTGTCCATGTTCTATCACACAGTGGTTGCCAGTGCACTTTTCTACAGCTCGACAGACAAAAACACCAAGGGATTGGACAGGCGGGTCTAAAAAGCTGGCTCAGTGCTCGGAAGGAGACTGGACCCACTATGAACTGTGGTGGAGAGGGGCACATTGAACAAACTGAAAGCTATAACGGACAATAGCAGACACCATCACAGCCTCCTGGAGCGACAGAGGAGCAGCTGCAGCAGTCGGATCATCTCACTTAGGAGATCCTTCGTCCCCATGGCAACAACGCTGTTTAACACCTCCTGAATCCAGTCACACACACACTCACATACATCACACTGGCCACAACTGGACTGGACTGTGGAATGAACAATTTTATTTTAGTTTAATTTCTATTTATGGTCTTAATTTAACTCATTTCATGTCTATTCTAATACCACTGTGTTGTTGTTGATGAGGCGAAGTGTGGTTGCTGTTCTTTGTCTTTTATGCATTTCTAAAAGAAATCCTTCCATGTTGTTTCAATAATAAATAAATAATGACATTGTTTTATTAAATTGACACAGAAAAGTCAACTCCAGCTTCAAATAAATAAAAAAACAAGCTATGTTCCCACTATCTTCAGGTCAGCTGTTATTTTTGAGCCCCTGTCCTCAGCTCACTCCACCATCACCCTGTGTGATTGACAGCTGGATGTCAGCCAGTCGTGTGTGAAGGCTGGTTTTCCCCAGATTTACTTACTTTTTGAGGAAAGCCGACAAAGCCCTCACAAACTCCTGCTGGTTGACATCTTTCACCGTGACACTGGGCATCTGAAAGACAAAGTGGAGACAAGGGTGAGCTTTAAAATGGATTTTAAAATGTCACACAGCGGCTTTATGAGGTGCCAAAATGCACCAACCTTCGCAGCCGTTTGAACTCTTTGCTAACGTTGCTAGCTAGCTAGCTAAAGTATACTGATAGCACTCAAGTAGTCACAACGCCACTGACAGTTACACACACATATAAAGCTCTTATAATATCCAGTGGTGACAAATATCTTACTTTTCATACACCCTAACGCACACAGCCGACAGCCAGGTGGTTGGTCGGGTTTGGGATGGAATTTAGCCCAGTTTAGCCGATGGTAGCTAATGCGGCTGAGGGAAGGATGCTGAGGAGTGAGGGAGGGGGAGACTGCCCTCATTTGGAAAGGATGATACCGTAGCCTGATATAACCTCGCAGCAGCTCCATATTCCTCCTCAACTCAGCAATTAAACCAAAGTAACTCACATACTAACGCTTATATTCTTTATGTATATTTTCACACACAGTAGGAGTTGTGTATGTGTTAAATTGGTGCTCAAATTATGTTAAAAATGACCTTTTTTTTACAGTGATGGTGTGGGTGTTATTCTCGTTGTATCCCAGCAGAGGGCGGTGTTGTGAAGCATCTGCCAGACCTCACAGGCTTTTCGAGAAGTGTGCTGCAGTCAGCAGGCGAGGAGAAAGCAGCTCACTCACAACACCACGAGTGGATGGTTAGTAACCTTATAGTTGCTTTTTATTTTTACCAGCCTGGAGCTGTGGTGCCTGCAAATACAGTCAGGAATGCTGCTTTTATTTGTCTGTTATATGCTGAATGGAGCTTACCCTCCTGTGAACCTAGACTGACACAGTGGATGTATAAAATGCGCCTATTGTTCAAAAGAAATCCAGAGTTAATGTAATTAACGCTACATCTTAAAGGAATACCAGATAAAACTTTTCATAGAATATAATTGCTTTCTTTTATGAGTCATGGCTGTTGGCTGCAATGGCATGTCGTCTTTTTACATTCAGGTTAGTGTCAGGCCTCCAAGGTGACTGCTGCCCTTGAAAAACTAAGCAGTATGCTTCATGCTACTTTAAGTATTTTATTAATGAAATCCCTCCTTCCTGGAATATATATAGTTATGTCTAAAGACAGCATAGAGAGAAAGCCTTCTGACCAAGGTGACAAGGTTTGCAGCAAATTTCTCTCCTGATCTCCCATGACTTGCCATCCTTGTCTGTTCTCACTCCTTTGCCTTGATTCTTGACATCATATCAGAAGTAATTAAATGGTCTCATATACTAATTCAAGCCACCCACTGTCAACCTGCAGCAATATCTGCCTGTGAACTGAATTTAAATTCAGCGTAACTACACAATCACTTCTTACAGAATCTGTAGTTAAAAAAGAATCAGTATATAAGCTGTACTCAGTCACTGTGTGTATTAAATGTAAAAACAATGGCACATGCCAATTACTAGATACATATTCTTACATATAGCCAGTAAATCTGCAGAGTAGTCATTCTGTAGTGATGTGAAACAAAGAAAGCAAGCATTTTTAAGTCTGACATGTGGATGTTACGATTACACTGATATATAAAATGAATATGAGAGAAAGATGTGTTTATTCAGTTCAATAATGAGTCGAAAATACAATCAATTTATTGTGTGAGTTTTGTAATCTTTGGTACAAAAAAACAATTAGCTTTCAAGAGCTTCTTAAATGTGAGGATTTGCTGCATTTCCTGTCCCGTTTGATTGTAAAGTGAATCCCTGTAGGGTTTTGATTGTCAGTTCAGAACCATAAGCAGGTTGGAGGCATCACTTTTTGGCTCTGGTAACTTGAGATAAGACTTTTTCATTATTTGGGACATTTTTTGACTGAGTGATTAATCAAGGAAATAATAGTTGGATTAATTAACAATGAACATCCAGCTGTTCCTTCCAACTCTAATTATATGGTATTGTGTCTCTAAAGCATTGCTTAATTTTCATTAGTTTGTTGTAAGTGTAGTCTGACACTTAAAACTGCTGAAAATACAGAAAATCCTGCCATTTTAATTATTTCTTTCCTTGACCCCAAAAAGCCATGTATTTCTTTTCTGGTATGTAGGCTAACATGATATGCGGATTACCACCAGCATATGAAACAGTTCATCTAAAGCCAAGGTAGATGAATGTGAGTTTACAAATGTGCAGACATGTTCTCACACACACACACACACACACACACACACAGCAGCCCTGTGCTCTCTATGTCAGCCCGTCTAAGCTTCTTCCCCTCCCCCTCTCAACATCTCTCTCCCCTTTTTTGTCCCCCTCGCCCTCTCCTTTTCCCTCCCGCTCGCTCTCTCCTGCCTGCTAGCACTATTTCAAGCCTCTGCCGAGGAGAGAGAGAGGGAGAGAGAGAGAGGCAGAGACACACAGATGCGCAGTTAGAGAGAGAGAGAGAGAGAGAGAGAGAGAGAGAGAGAGAGAGAGAGAGAGAGAGAGGGGAGGGGAAAGCAAACAGGATTTAGAGTTCAAGTGCACGTGCAGAAAATAGGCTGAATAGAGGAGAGTCGGAGCAAAAAGGAAACCAGGAAAAGGAACGGCAGGGGCGGGAGACAAAGCACACAGTAGCTCTTTCTCTTCTTCTTTCTTCCTCTCTATTTTCTTCTCAAGGAAAGAGGAGGTATTAGCCGTGGAACAGAGGGCAGAAAAAATGAAAAAGCACAAAATTCAAATACGGTGAGTGAAAAAAAGACAAAAAAAATGTATTCCTATTCCTGCCCCCTCCTCTTTCCTCTCCCCACCAACACACTCCTCCTCCATCCCTCCCTCTTGGATATTTCTCCATGAACCCCCAGTCTCTCTCTCTCTCTGTCTTCTCGCTGGCTCTCCTTTCTCTCTCCTCCCACCTCTTCACACACACATACACACCCCAGAGTCCTTCCCACTCCTTCCCCTCACGCGCGCTTACTATCCACTTTCACTGGAGACCGACCGCAACGAGCTCTGTTTTATTCCTTCTTTTTCTTTTGCTTGTCAGTCTTTGCTTTTGGTTATGCCCTCATGTACGGAGGCACCATCACCCCTACTTTGCGTGGCGCCCCTGAAAAACGCAGGCCGTGGATTGTCCCTGCGTTAGACTGAGTGCAACAGATCTGCTTGTCCTTTCCTGTTAACAGTTTTTTCTATTCTTCTGCAGTGTTTTATTTTTTTCAGAACTTGACTTCAGTTAAGAAACCCCTTTTTGAAAATCTTAACTGTATGCCGAAGCAGGAACTAAGGGTTGAAGAAAAGGAAAAGAGTGTCCGATGAATGGACAGATGAAGGGGACAGAGGCAAAGAATGAGGGGAAAATGGAGAGCATGGTCTGCGGGAGAAAGCGAGAAAGACAGAGAAAGAGAGAGAGGTAGGAGAAAGAGTACCGGCACTAGCAAGAAAAACAGGAGGGGGAAGAGAAGAGAAGGGGGACCAGTAGGGGATAGACTTAGGAAGGAGGGACGGCTGGTTAGGAATTGGCAAAATCGCGGGAAAAAGGAGAAAAAACAAAACTCCAGAATGAGAAGAAACTGGACTTCTTGTCAGACTCAGTCTTGTGCTTCGTGGTCATCTTTGATTTTTATTTTTTGACATGATTTTTCATCACTTCTCCGGTCACACTCTCATTCATCTGTGAGTATACTGTACGTACATGTCCTTTCCCTTTCCCGCACATGCATCCTCTCTGCCCGTCCTTTTTTCTTTAAAGCATGCTCCTCTCCCCCCCGCCTCGCCTTCACTTCATTTTTCAACTCTCCTTTTTTTTCTTGTTTGAGAAATGTGTTCCCTAGGTTGCTAATCCCCCCATCCTGTTCGTCTATCCAATCTCGCGCTCCTCCTCTCTCCCTCTTTCACTGTCTTTCTCTCTTTCCTCCTTCAGCTCCTCTTTATTGTGGGTTATCGCTGTTCTCTTTGCCTCTCCTTGAAGGATTACCTCTGCTCACATTTAGATGAGGGCTTTGGAAAGGGATCACTGAGTGCACCCAGTTTCAGGGGGCCCATGCATGGGAGGCTAGCACACGAAGGAGGCAGGGTGTGTGCATTTCAGTGTGTATCTATCTGTATTAGTCATGTGTATCTGTGTCTATGCATGTGTGTGTTAGTATGTTGGGGTGTGATTTAGAGTTAACAGAGCCGGCAGTGGCGGACAGTCACTCCTGCTCACGCATGCGTGGATTCGCACATTCACGTTTATGTTTCATATCCATGAAATGATTGTGCAATGTTGTTAGTTACGAAATGCACAGAAATGAAAGGTGAGGTGCTAGATGGAGGCGAAACAATTGAAATACTGTAAGTACTGCGGGGTTTCTTCTTCTTCACTCATTGCATATTTCACTCCTCCCATGTTTCTCCCCCTTTTTCTATCCCATCTTCCATCCGTTCATCCGGGTATCCCCAATCTATCTGTTGGTCCGCCTGTAAAGACAAAACCCACAGTCCAAGATGTGGTTCGGTATCAACCAAAGACAAAGGTGGATTTATCTCAGGGTGTAAGCTAAGTAACAAACTGGAGTCAACAAGTTTTTTCCTTTTATAGCCTGCACATTTGGGCGAGATTACTTTTGTTTGATGTGGTGAAGTTACAGGTAAAGACGGGAGGCTTTGGCGCAAATAACTGCATGTCTGCTATGTAAAGATGTCGACAGTAATGGATTACATGAATGTATTATTGTACTGTAAGTACAGTGGGCCTGAACAGTAGACAGAGGCGTACGGTATATAGCACAAGCCTGCTATCGTCCATTTGCAGTCCATCTGCTATAACCTCCATCGAGTATACCTTTTTCTCCCGCGGTATCAGCATCAGATATCTCCTGGCATCTCTGTCCTTTTCCTTTTTTCCCTATCCTATGTTATATATCCTCTCCTATGTTATATATCTGCCTGCTCTGTTTTATTTATTCACACAGCCTCGTTATCTCTGTCCACATTTTCTCTATTACTTGCCACAGTTCATACCTAAATCCAAGATTGTCGACTGGTATCGTTCCAAGGGTGTGTGTATGTGTTTTCCTCTGCCGACAGCGTTTTTATTGGTGTGTGTTACCTTAAATGATAAGTGCTTTAACACCTTTTGATTGTTTGTGATTGTTTCTGTCATTCGTGTTTGGGCTTTGTTTATCATCTGTTTGTGAATGAAGCAAGATTACCGAAGTTATGCGAGGTCATGGTCATCAAAAAAGTTCTGATTAAAAATAGCACTAGAAAAAAATATTCATAGGTGTTAAAAGAAGCTAATTGCATAGCTAAGGACGTTAGATAACAGTTATTGGCCTAGTTTTATAATAATATTCAGTGCCTGAATGTGTGCTAAATTAATCCGTATGCAATGACTCGATTAATAC